CATTTAGCTGATAATTCTTTTTGTATGTAGGACTTTTGCTTGTAAAGGATTATTTTTACATAATTGTATTAATACTTTTACTTTGACTACTTCAAAATTGTTCCCTCGAAAATGAGTAAATGTACTTAGTTACATTTTGATATGGACTTTGATAGAGGTTGTAATGGTTATCAGTAAACTTTATGGAGTGGTTATGGGTGAGGCAGTGATCCTGTATGATTTGCACGTGGAATAGAATATATAAATTCATCTGTGACGATGACATTCTATAGAACGTGACACACAATAAGTATATTGTGTGATACGAATGTTGCTTCAGTTCACCTGTAGACTCCACAGTGTTAACATCACTTCTCGAAGAAAAGTGCAAACTTTTACATTTAAAGACAGAAAGATGTCGATTGCATTCTGAACCGTCAGTGAACGCAGAAGGTAAGTACTCAAATAGCTCGCTTCTTTTTTTTTTGCTAGCATTGCATGTGTTAATTGTTTTCAAATGCAGAAACAGTAAAATTGTTATTATCTAGTTTTCAGTAGTCATAACTTAAATGCACTCAACTCCCTAAAAACACACCTCTATGACTTATTAGTTATCAATATAAAACTCATCTTATTGGGATATTGGCTGATGGTTAATACAGTCATTCAGGTCCTTTACTCAATGAGAATTACCAAAACCACAATGTAAATATATTTCAAATAAATCAAAATTTTCCTGAACTAAAGGTACAGCAAAATTGCTTAAAATTAACTACTGGCTTCATCTAAAGTTATATATCCTTATAACCAATTATTATACATTATTGGATAGTTTAATCTTTAACTCTGAGGTGTATTTTCATAAAATATTTACCTACAAAGTAAGTAGTAACTTTAGCTCTCTGACTATCACCTGGTAATTTTATTCCTGATGCTATTCCCTGTGAAAGTGCCTCAAAACCTGCTTCCTACCAATGTCACAGGAGCTCAGTAAGAAAGCATCAGAGTTCAAGTGAGGACAAGCTTTAGGGACAGAGCCACAGATGACTGTGAAGAGGATGGATCTCAGAGCAGCATTTGAACACGTTGTAGCGGGGATGGAGTGGGAAGATGTGATTGACACTTTCCAGACGGTGGTAAGTGACATGTTGGGAAATACACCCAACCCTCCACCTCCACCCGCTGTCCCTGCTGAGCTTGTGTACGCCGCCCACCCACAGCCAGTGCAAAGAGGATGCGGGGAGTGCATCCTCCAGGGAGCAGCTCCTGGACCGGATGTTGGGCAGGCTGCTCCCACTATTTACCAGGATCCACTGAACCAGCAAAATGCCATGCAACCAGGTCACTTGTACAGCCAGACAGGTGCTTACAGCCAGGGACAGGTAATATACTAAGAATAGGTTAGATATAAATTAGAATTTACCAATAAGTGTATAAAAAAAATACTTGTTAATGGTTGAAACTTTAGGCCAACAGAATATTCTATTCTAAGCCCACTCTGTTATTCCAGATGTTGCTGAATGTATTGAGTTATGCAACAATACTGTGAGGCTCTGCTTATCAGTAAATGCCAATTAGTCATAATTCAAAAGTAATGATTCATGCTACTCATTGTTGTGAAAGTGTTATGTTTTTACTCCACAGGTTGCTATAAGTTAAAGGGAGGGAAACTCTGACACCTGGTGGACAGATGACACAGCTAATGATGCAGCTTCTCTGATCACCTGTTCTGTGTGTGTTTGTGTCTCCAGAATGACAGGCTCCCTCAAGGCATGATGGAGAGCCTGGTTCCTGTTGGAGTAGTGTAAGTAACACGCACATGAATGAAAACAAACACACGAGTGTACACATACATGAGCCTGAGTTTGTATCGTCAAACACACTTTTTCTGTTCTGTGATGCATCTGTCTGGTTTTATTGATGTAGCAATGGAGAGCTGCTGTATGGGATTCCAGCAGAGAGACTGCTTCCTACTGTTTCAACTGCTCCTCCAAGTAACACACCCGTTTCACAGTAAGTCAGCCTGGTTGGCTCTTGATCTGTGGCAGTGGTCACCAACTGGGAGACCAAAACAAAACCAGATTCATATCAAATCACAGTCACATATTTCATTTCTTGCAGCTGGGGTTTGATTTCAGGTGTCTGTTATTTGTCTACCAAGATTCCAGCTGACTGTTTCTAAAATACTTGTCTCCTCACAGTTTTACACAGTGGTGACACATGCTCTTATAATGTTTCCCATAGAAAGAGAAAGCGTGAGAGCCAGCAAGGTGACGGCTGGCCATACGTTAAGAAGCCGCCCAACGCCTTCATGCTGTTCAGGAAGGAGCAGAGGCCAAACGTCGTCACAGAACTGAACATCAGCGATAGTGCAGCAGTAAATACTGTCCTTGGACAGAGGGTAAGTGTCTTCGCTCTGTGAGACACTTGAGAGATGCTCAGTGTCACACAAACAAAGTTTTCTGCAGTCATGCGTCGAGCAGTGTCTAAGACAAAGACCCTTCTAAAGTCATTTTTGTTCTTTCCGTGAAAGACAATGATTTTTATTTAAAGTCACATGACCAGAGAACAAACGTAAATTTAAATAAGAGGATTTCAAGCATTTTATGACACAAATACACTGTGGGACTTTGCATTGCAGGGCCTGCACATATTAATGTGGATCTGTGTGTATCTGTTGATATTGTTTGATGCTTGTGTTAGTGCTGTAGTCCGCCTGTAGCTGGATATCATCGTGTGTCGCTGTCTGCTGAGAGTGTGCTGTCATGTGTCCACAGTGGAGGGCGCTGTCGAAGGAGGAGCAGGCCAAATATTATGAACAAGCAATCAAGGAGAAGCAGCTGCACACTGAACAATTCCCTCAGTGGTCATGCAGCACCAATTATGTATGCACACGATGCTCACATACAACTCATACATAGTTACATCATTTCACTAGATGATGCAGTTATCAACTGACATCAGATGGAAAGACTGATGTGTTTGCTTTTGTGTAGGGCAAAAAGAGGAAGAGGATCAGAAGGAAGGCTCCCACCACGGCTGAAGGTAGGACAATATTTCTGTGGATCTCAGTGTGTTTTCATGTGAAATGCAACAGAAACTAGATTACGTGACATTGACATTGACTTAAAAATTAAAGTTATGACCACCACAAAACAACTTCCCCACAAAGCAAAGAAAGAACAGTGAGGTTCAGAACTTCCTTTTATCTTCAGCTGAAGAGCTATTTTTTTTATTTTTACAAACAAGTTCATAACTTGCAAGAAATACAACAAAAATTGTGATGTTTTGAAATTAAATGCAGCTTTATTGATATTGGTATCAATCAAAATAAGAGTCAGAGCATGTTTAAGAAGCAGCATCTAGTTTTGGAAGACTGATCAGTCTTTTGGTTCGTTTTTATTGCAGCATCTGCGTCTAGACTTGAGGAGGTGACGGAGCAAGTCATGACTCTGTGTTTGACCCCAGTGGAACCAGCAGTGATGGAGCCTTCTACCACCCAGACAGCCCAGAAAGAAGCTCCACACACACAGGCAGTAGTGATGGAGGATCCAGTCCTGGTGACGGAGGCTCCTCACAGGCCAACAGGTCACAGTGTCAGTGTGACGCTTCCTTACATGGAGGCTCCAGTGACTGTTCCTGTGTGTGACATTGATGAACTGCTAAGGATGTATGACGCATGCATGTCCTCAGCACTCTACTGTAAAGAGTCCACCCACCCGGCCAGCTATGGAAAAGAGGACACACTCATGATGGCGCAGCATGAACAAACCCTCCCTTCACTACGCAGCTTCAGCTGCTCTCCTCTGCACTTCTTCTATCTGGACTGAAGACCCCCCCCCCTCTACTACTACTACTACTACTACTGCATTTCTTCTCAAATCACAAATCACTTGACTCATGGTTCTGACTATGTTGCTTATAATTAAAAACTCTGCCTCTTTCACATGAGCGTGCTCATGGCCAGACAGGTAATCCCAGGGTTAACTGAGCCAGTTGATAACCAGCCTTGTAGTGCAGGTTATCCAGGATGGCAAATGTTAGGTTCTCTAAGCCAGATAATGAAAAGTCATCCTGGGTATGTAGAACATGCTTCATAGTACAGGCCTCTGCTCTATATGAAAAGTTCCCTGAGATAACTTCTAATATTGACTGGACTTGATGTGAGTGAGTTTGAGTTTTTCAGACTCACACAATGTAAGGACTAACAATTATGTTCCTTACGTTGTAGGAGTAGGATCTTCAACAAACATGTCAAGTCTAGTCAAGTTATTTATGTATTTGTCATTTATCTATTTTCTCTCCCTTGGATTTCAGCAGCCTTTTATGTGTTGAAACATTTTGATAAATGTTTTTAAATGACATGCAAATGAATCAACTTAAAAATCACAGTCTATGTAAAAGAGCCTTTAGGCAGCAGAGTGAGGTTGAAATGTTTCTTCACATTTCTGGTCGGCTTCTCTGCAGGTGGTCGTGCATGGGCAGATGTGTTATCTGCTGGCGTCTTTTGCGGGTTGATGCGAAATAAACTCTAAGGCACTTCACTTTGGCTGAAAACTTGATGATAATTAAAAGTTACAAAATTACTCTGGGGCACATTTTGGCCCAAAATGATTTGTAGTTTCACAAGTTGACTACACAAAAAAAATACTTGAATCACTATGCGCATATGGATGTATCTGAACTAACGCCAAACTAGCTACTGCAGAATGTAGTTAAGTTAATTACATGTGGTTCACTGCCTCCCAACAACACAGACAACAACTTACCACCAGTCTGTTACCTGCATCTCATCTCCTCCGGTACTAATGCTCAAACAGATCGCTGCGCGAGTGCTGCAACTTTTGAAGGAAACCGCGAAAGAAACCAATACTGTAGGCAAAGGGACTTTTTCAAAGTATGATTTATGACATATTTATCAGAATATGTTTGACTCATTCATTCAAACTACATATTTTGAAATTAATAGTCGTAAAGTAAAATAAAATAACAAAAGAATATAAAAATCCAGATATCAAACATTTATCGAGTCACGCCCCGTCACGCCCCCCTTTGCCTGAATAATGATGACGCGTCTGGTATCAAACACTTGATATCAACGGTTGTACTTCACGGCACCGCCACATACAGTTGGAAGCTGAAGTAGGTCACTACCAATCGACTCGGATTACTTTACCCTGCATTTACTGCACGCTTGAGGACTCAAGGTATTGTGGGACATTTGTCTTAAATATATCTTTTTACTTGCCGAAACATTGGTTAATGTTGTGAATCACAACATGAACGTCAGGCTCGGCGTCGCACTGAATGTTCAAATCTTTAGAAACGTTTATTTACATTTTACAGACACATTTTTATTCAACACTGCTATTTTGCTAGTTAAATATACTAAAGTAAATAAAACCGTCGACATTAACAGTACATTTTACTATCAAAACGCTGTAGTTTCGTTCTCGTGCATTTCACAAGTTAAGTTTCGTTTCTCTCTCGCAGCCTCATCATGGCCGAAATGGTTTCTCTGATGAGTCTGGAGGATGAGCTGACATGCAGCATCTGTCTGAGCACCTTTGACTGTCCGGTGACCACCCCCTGCGGACACAACTTCTGCCAGGACTGTCTGCTCGCTACCTGGAAGGAAACGTACAGCTGTCCTCAGTGTCGGACCCACTTCGCCACCAAACCGGAGCTGAAGAAAAACACGGTCCTGAGCACCGTCGTGGAGACTTTCAACCTAAGGTTGAACAAGAACGAGGAAAGCCTGATTAAAGAGGAGAAAAAACCCGAGGAGAAGACGGTCATTCGGTGTGATACATGTATGGAAGCAGAGGCGTCCCAGACGTGCCTCACCTGCATGGCCTCTTTCTGCGAGGAGCACCTGCGTCCTCACCGGGAAAACCCAATTTTCCGTCTCCACCAGCTGAGCGAACCTGTCGGTGACCTGTCGGAGCGCATCTGCCCGGACCACCACAAGCTGATGGAGCTTTTCTGCAGCCAGCATGGCCGTCCAATCTGCAGCCTTTGCCTCCAACATGTGCACAAAGGCTGCTCCTTCACCTCCCCTGAGGAGCAGAGGAACCTGAAAGAGGTCTGTGTGTCAAAATACTTACTTATCTGTAGAGGTATCTAGCCATACTGATAGTTTTGGCACAATTTCCTACGTTTTGTCATATTCATCTCTGGGTCCTAAAATGATTTGTTTGTGGTGCTCAGGGCATTTAAAATTGTGTTTTTAAGAAAATCAATAACAACTTGTTTTCCAGGTACAGTGTTTAATATTCGGACTAAACCACAGAACCATTCACAGATCTAACTGGGCAGAATATATTGTTGAGAGCACTTTTGGGACTATTTTTCTAAAATACTCACTGTGAAACAAAATGTCTGTTTGTTTGTATTTCCCTTGCTCATTCAAAGTATTATAGAAATATCTTTGCTTAAGTGTGGCATTTTAAAATGATTTGTCAAGATTTTTGATGTTTGTTGAGGCCTGACAGACGCCCACACTCTGAAATTGAAAAATAAAGTTTAAGACCAAAGTTACCACTTAACACAATCATCTCACAGGGTTCTGTGGAAAATAGACCATGACCTCCTGTGAACTGTGTGTCTCTGTTAGAATAACCTAAATGTGTCATGTTTCTGTGTTCGTAGTCTGACCTGAGGGACAAGTTGGGTTTGCTGGATGAGAAGATTGTGAAGAATGAGACTGTTATAAATCAAATGAGGGACATGCAGAACAAGTTGAAGGTAAGTCTCACCATTTGTTTTGAAATGTACTGTACTCTAATCCACATAAACACCAAAGGGAAATTAATGGCCTGAAAGCCCAAAAGCGTACATTGTTACATTATGTCTTTATATCTTAAGATATACCTTAAGTGATCCCCCATTTGCTAAATTTAATTCGATACAGCAGCACAAGGGTATGTAGTTAAATTAAAGGAAAAAATGTCTTTGTTATACATTAGAAATGAGTTTAAAAAAAGATAAAATAGGAATAAAATATATAATAAATTAGATCTATCTGTGTACACATGTGCAATGTTTGTGTGTAAACCAAGAATGTTTTGGCAGGGACATTTGTCTGGCTGAATCAAGTCGGCCTTGACAAATCAAGTGTGGCGAGGTTAATGTGGTGTGGCAACCAGTTCTTGGGTAACAACTGGGATGAGTGTTCTGGGAAAGATGTGTCAATTAGACCATATTTGGTCTCTGCCAGAAGGTGGTGTTGACTGTATATAAGAGTCATTTGCACATGTGCTGTGTGTGTAACTGTATCCTCTATGTGCACGTTAAAAAGAGTAATAAAGGAGCATTTCATCAATCTCACTCTGCTACAGTTGTTTCTTCCTTTTTCATAAGATAGAGAAAATTTCACTCACAGCACAGTGAAACACCCAAGCCTCCTCAGAGACAACAGTCTGCACTCTCTTCTCCTGTAGAGGGCCTCAGTGTTGTCTGACCAGTCCAGTTTATTGTTGAGTTTCACCCATAGAAACTTGTAGGTGTCCACCATTTCCACACCCATCATTATAGTGACAGGGTCAACCACGAGCTCCTTGGTGGTCTTTATTTTAGGTGGTATGGTGTTATTAAGCAAATATCATTTTATTCTATGATTATGTTGCCTTGAAAACTCCCTTATAAAAAAAAAAAAAAAAAAAATCTGCCTGTCAGCTGTCAGTCCAAGCTGACACTGGGTATCGTTAGTTGGCGTCTAATTGGTTAGGTAAACATGTCAAAGAATCTATTCCTTTATCACATATTCAATGATCTAAATTAGGAGAGATATTTAATTATAGACTATATTTTATCTAGGCAGAATTCTCCATTGGTGAAACAATGAAATATTTGGGTGCAATGATGAGTTTTTGTGAGGAAAGCCGGTGCTGTACTTGGCATGGAGCTGGACCCCCCCCACAATGGTATCAGAGAGCAGGTAATAAAACAAGCTGTCCAACCCCAACCAGCCCTTCCGCAGTGCTCTGGTTAGCCAGAGAAACACATTCAGTGGCAGGCTGATTTCTCTTGGCTGTTAGGAGGATCGCTCCAAGAACTCATTTGTTTCCAGTCTTTTTAATGCCTCCCCACTGTGCATGCAGCTGGTCCATCGTGGTCACTGAGATGGGCTGAAACCAGAGCTGTGTGCTTGTATATGAATATGTGTAAAATATTGTTACGGTATCGGTACAAAAACCCAGGTTTCTTATTGGAACCCATTTAAAAAGTTTTGAAACCATACGCAGCCCTACCTGAGACGTGCTGAACATTAAAAAATGTTTTTTATTACAAGGCTATTGTATTTTAATAAGTTGCCCCTGTATGAACCTGTCTCATTACTGATCTGTTCATGGATCCTCTCCCCTAGGACTCAGCGACCAACAGGAAGAAAGCTGTGACAGCTGACTATCAGCAGATGCGGGACATGTTGACCCGAGAGGAGCGCGATAGTCTGATTGCAGTCGATCGAGAGATGGAGAGTGGTCAGACCAAACTCAGGACTCTCATGAAGAAGTTCACTGAGAACATTGACAACATGAGCAAAGCTAAAGAAGATATCCACAGTCTTCTAAGTCAGTCCCAAACACTGGCCTTCCTACAGGTGAGTTACCACACAATGATTATATAACTTGTCAGCAGTAAAAGCAGACACGATGCCCACATACCTCATCTGCCTCATCTTAGACATTTGAAAGCTGATTTGAGTAATTTAGTATGGAAACTGAAAGCTGCACAGACGGTAGGGAAAACGCATGTAAATGTGGAACAATACAGCTGGGTTAGCGAGTATGTGATGAAATGCCCTGCACAGGTGTGGAATTATTGTCTAACAAATGAAACTACATTCCTAGCTGAGTCCAACCTTAATCCACCAGTTGTTCCTATTTCTGCCTGCCTGCCCTAAATAACAGACAAAACAAAAACACTGAGATCTTCTTTTGCCAGCCTTCCTCTAACAAGATTTGCCTGCACACACATACATGCAGTATCTCAGAATTGCACTGGAGTAAAAAAATATTAATATCGATAGGGTCACATGTTTTCAAAACTATCTTTTACATTAAGTATAAGTTGAGCTCTGTACGGTTTTGGTTGCAGCATGATCTTTAAAGTACCCGCAGACTCTGAATTTCAAATAAGCAAAAAAAAAAACGCCTGCATATTGTGATTACAGAGAACATCATGTCTCAATAATGGGCCAAGTTATATATTGTATGTAAACAGTTTGTAGAGACTGACACTGGGCACTCGTCTCATTTTGTCGTGTTGTAATTGAAAGCATTTGATAATGAATTCAGTTAATTCATAATTGACCTGCTGTTGAGAATTCAAGATCACATGAGTCAGAGGGAGGTTTTTCAAGTCTACTGATAAAATAAACAGATTTTTTTTAAAGGCTGCAATAACTTATTAATATACATGAGACAGAACTTCAATCAGACAACTTCATTAATCATTCCAATGAGAGATAACGTACAGTTTTTGCTGTCTTCCACAGTATAAATTAATACAGCTTTATCTTGTTCCTCTGCTCACAGGCATCATTTACCCTGCCCCCAGCCATAAACTTTGACCCTTACACCCCACGAATCAACCTGGACTCCAAGAAGGTGATGGCGACACAGGCCTCTGGTGCTGCTCTGAAGGATTATCTGACAGAGATCTTTAAACAGCCTGTTGAGGCCAGAGTGCAAATAATTAAACCAGGTGAATATTCAGGTACATTTGTCAATTAAGCAGGAGTTTTAGCAGTTAAAGATGCATCAAGAAAGTATAGCGAAGTCAATAATGTTCAATTTTGTTGCAGGAATTAACATTGATACTGTTGCATCTGGTGAGTGTGTCATGCGAGAATTGGTGCAAACAGAAATCTAATCAAAACAATAATCTAAAAACATTCCTCAAATTGGTGCTGAATTGGGTGGTGATGGGATATTGGGGTAACTATTTTAAAGTCATTTGGATAAAGATAAAAAATAAAAAGACAGTTGTAATGACACTGTCTGGCATGTTCTCAGGTGAAAGAGCAGCCTCAGCATTTACACCTTGGAACCCTGGACGTCACCAGGAACCTGTTCCTGTTTCAGAGTTTCAGTGCCCTCCAGGGATTCCTGGATTTCCCATGTCCCACACTCCAGGTCCAGGTTCCCAACCAAAAGCAGGCCCAAAGAAGAAAGCTCCAAGTAAGAAAATGCCCAATTTTTATGTTCAGTTTTTGTCGTAGAGAGGAGTTCATTTACGTAATGTTCATTTTGAAGGCTGCAGTTATTTGTCATGTAACACTTGCATAACTTACTTTCTCAATCAGCTTCCTACTTACACCAATGGGAGATGAACTCACTCTTCCAAAGTTAGAACAGCTTTTGTTTTTCCACTTTTTCCACAATTTGTCTTGATAGTCAAATCTGACTTTGCAGAGTGTTTTCGTTTTTTTGCTTGATTGATTGTTGCTGATTTTCTCATGAATATTCAATGTTATAAAGTATTCACAGGCTTTAACAGCTCTGAATTTTTTCTTCAGCTATAAAACAAATGTTTTTTTTCTTTAGAACAAACCAAAAAACCTCCACAATCTGCTGAAGACGTCATGAAAAAAAAACTAGCCCAGTCAATGGAAAACCTGCTGGATTTTGGTGTGAAAGACAAATTCAGAAGCCGTCCTCATGCAGGTGAACCCAATCAGACACCAGGTACGTTGCTCCTGTTGCAGCCACAACATACAAGGTTTTTTTTTCTTTTTTTGTTTGTTTGTTTGTTTGTTTTTTACATATGCAGTAGCACTCCATTTGCCTGCTGACAAATGGCTCTTTTGTCATCTTCTGTTGTAGAAACTACAGACATTCCTCCAAACATTTTATCTGCTGAAAAAAGAACCGAGCTTCTGAAATGTAAGTGTCTGAGTGTAGCAGGTATCTTAGTCTCGTATGGTAGTAGCAACCAGGTTTGTTGTTTGAATGGTCTTTATCTTACTTCTGTACCTTCTAGATGGCACGGTGCTCACCTTGGATCCAAGGACAGCCCACAAACGCATCATACTGAGTGAGGACTTCACGAAGGCCTCTGTATCAGATGAGCACGCAAACTACCCCAACTGCCCTGAACGCTTTGCTGTCTGCTCCCAGGTGCTCACCTCCAAGGGTTTCTCTCGAGGGCGCCACTACTGGGAAGTCCGTATGAGCAGCAACAACTTCATTGGCATAGGTTTAGCTTATGGTAGCATTGACCGCAAAGGGCCCACCAGTCGGCTGGGCCGTAACGCCCAGTCCTGGTGTGTTGAGTGGTTCAACGTCAAGCTGTCAGCTTGGCATAACAGCAGCGAGACCGTGCTGCTCAATCCCAGTCCAAAGCGTGTAGGCGTGCTGTTGGATTGTGAGGGGGGCATGGCTACGTTCTATAACGTGGCAGACAGGGCGTATCCCCTCCACTCCTTTGTGTTCCCCTTTGCTGAAGCTGTGTATCCAGCTTTCTGGATTTTCTCAAGTGGCTCATCCATTTCTTTGTGCAAGCTGCAGGCATGAGGAGCATATGCACATATAATTGCATATGCACGCACACACACACACACACACACACACACACACACACACACACACACACAAACAAACAAACCAAGAAAATGAAGGAATATAAGTTAGTGGTTATTCTGAAAAGACACATACAGCTTGGAGTGTCACAGCTGAAATGGATGTCAAGAGTTAACAGAGCCAATGTCATTAGCTATTGCCTCTACCTATGCTGGCTTTGATTTACACCGGCAGAATTTGTGGTTATGAGACCACAAAAATAAAGCTGGCAGAGCGTCTGTCTCTGGTAAAATAACTTGCATAAACTGCATCCTAAGCGGCTGTGATGCACTTACAGTTATAACAGAACACGCATAGCTCACTGTACACTTACTGTACAGCCTGTTTATGCCAGTGTGTGTCCTGCATTAACTGTGCAGACTATTATACACTGTAGAACGGTAATGGATGTGAATGTTATCACACACATCAGTACGGTGTTTTGATATAAAGGCTGCATGTGAAAAATTCCTGATTGTTAACTGTTGTTATGGAGTTAGTGTGGCTATCAAAGTTATAGGGCTGGGCCATACAGCAAATAATTTGTCACAGTAACTCTTGATATCGTGTCATGGTATGAGTCATTTCTGGTGACCTTAAAGATTCAGATTGTGAAAATGACTAATGGACAGCAAACAAAAAAAAAAAAGCTTAAATCTTGTCAGTATAAATTCTTATAAATCCTGCATGTAAAGTCCTTTTTGCTGTGGAGCTGCTGACACTCAAAAGTTTCCTCTGAAAGAGCGCTCATGTTTTCCATCTATCATACTTTATCTATCCCTGTTTGTGCATTTGTCCTTTCCTAAAGGATTGCCACATGATTGGATAGAAAATCCGCTGTTTCTGTGATGCTATCTAATGTACACAAGCAGTGTTCCCCCCAGACAACGCATTGAAGTGTCTCATTTTCATATAATTTTATCACCAAATCATTATATCATATCAATCAGTGAATATATTATTTGTTTCACCCAGCCCTATATTCCTACTTCCTGAACTGTTTGACTGGTTTGGCTGATGAGAGAACAGACGTCACATAGACTCTGTTTGTATCAAGTTCACAGTCTCTTATTTTTTCCTTTTATACTGTAATGGCATTTTGTCTTTATTGGTGGAGGTTTGATCCAGGAAATAATGGGTGGAGATAGGAAAGGATGATAAGCAGAAATGTTCCGAGGCCAGATTTGAACCTGGGATGTTATTTGCATGGTATAACCCATGCAGATAACAAGCTTTACATATTATATCTGTGGCAGGGACACAAAAACAAGAAGTCATCTTAATGCTCTGTTGGCTTTTCGTTAGGTGGCGGGAAGGTAGTAAGATGTACTGTGTAGTTTCACAGGGGTAAATTATTTGTTGCTTGATACAAAGTTTACCCCGGCCTGTAAGACGTGTTTGCTGAACCTTGGTGACATCAGTTACCACGGCTCATTTCCTGATGTGGCACCACTGGAGTCCATCAGGTGGTAAAGTGGTTGGTCAGTGCGCATAGTGATCACTCTCAATCAGATGTAACGTGAGCGTGCTCGTCTTGCAAGTGCTAAAAGATGTGAAATGACAAACCATATGGGTGTCAAGCAGTATAGATCTGTCTACACAGTATATAGTACATGAACAGTAAAGTTAGGCATTTGAACATGGTTCTCTTTGTTGTTTTGACAAAGGCGGTCTAAGTACCAACTTCACCGCATTTCAGAGGCACAGAAGACACTGTTGTCCAGTGACTTAACTGATTTAACTGGTAAAGGTTCAGACATCGGTTAACTGATGGTTAAGCGAAAACATCTCTGTGAGATATTTCTGCAAGTGCACTTCATGTATGGGCCTTTTTTTGTATGAGGTTACATGCTGGTATAAATAGGCACTATACAGTGTTGCACTATTGCACAGAACGTCTGAACCTGAACAGTGATTTCCTCTGTTTTTACTATTTGCCGTTGCTTATCTTCACAATTGAGAGAGCTTTACCAAATCATAACGAGTGCCAAAGTCTTGATATTGTGTTGACAGTTGTTTAGTCCTAAATAATACTATAGTGGTGTCTGTACTCAGTAGAATCAAGGAAGAGTTGTGTTATTGGCAACATTTGTCTTTATTGGTTATTGCTTCTTGCTTCTGTTTTTGGCTCGTAAAATGTATCCTGGACCAACCGCAGACTTCAGTGGCTCACATATGATTCTGTTGATCTGTTGTTGATTGTACTGTGCTGATCTTCAACTGAAATGTAGTTCATTATTCTTTGCATCAAATATTTTCAAGCGTTCCAGTGCATTGAATTTTACTCAAACTGCTGTTTGTTGAACCAGTTGTTGTATAATCCTTCATTGTTCAATTCATTGTTCAATTGTCCTGTGCTCAGTTTGTGAAACAAGTAAATCTAAGTGCTAGTTGATAGATTATGTCATATCTGTGTCTTCAGTGTAGTAGATTGGTTAAATTTGTGAATATATGTGTGACTGTCTTAAAATTTAAAAAATTTAATAGGTATTACGTTTAATATAACTAATATCTGTTTGTATTACAAATTAATCTGTGACTTCTATTAATAAATGTCCTTTTCTCTGAGATACTGTGCTCTTTTTAAGGGACAATTGGTTTAAGGAGCTCTCAAACATTTTAAGATATATTCTCTTTTGCCCTCTTTTCTACAGGTAACAGCATCAAAATTAACCCTCATTATGCAGCTAACTGATTCCATTGCAGACTGATGAGACAAACACACACACACACACACACACACCCAAAACTTAAATAAAACTTGTTTAATTGCTTAACAATTGCTATGACAGATTATTAGCCTATTAATTGGCATGACTTTGTACTGGGCTGATCAGATGTCGTTAGTAGATTAAAAATAACAGCTGCAAAAATGGCGCAAATTTGTATTGTATCCGTGTTGTGTTGTCTATTGTTGTATTCTTTTGGCAGGGAAAAGTAATCCATAAATTAGTGTTAAAAATGCCCGCGCTTTGTGCAGCAATAGGCTGTAATAACAAGACAAACGGATCTGTCTTTTCCTTCCGAAAAGACGCAGAGAGGTAAGTCTATACAGGGATAGATTTTCAATCATGCCAGTTGCCTTGGCTTGAGGGAGGGGTTGAGGAACAACGCCTACTTAGGATATCGGAACTGTGTCCCAATTCATACCATTGGTGCTGCCTGTAATGCGGTATCTTCTGTATAGAGGATCTTTGATGTAGTCTCAATGGGCTGCCTTCAGTCACTATTTCATACTTTTTCCATTGTCTGACAACAGAAACAAAACAAAAAAATGTTAATGAATGAAAGAACAGCTGTATTTAATATACTATATATGTGAGCAGAGAGAGGAGGAGAGAACCAAAAAGATAAAGTGCTGAACTCGGCTGACAAATAGCCTGGACGTGGTCAAGCCAGGGTTGTAATTATGGGGGTGGGGGGTCTGACCCCCCTGATTAACACTTGGACCGCCCAAAAAGAGGGAACAGTTCAGACGGATTGAAACATTTATCCTATTTGCCTGTAATTGTAAATATTAAAATATATTTACCTAACCATGCGTGGATCTTTCTACAAGGATTTCAGACACTCCTAAAGTGGACCGTACCATTTCTAAACCTTGAAGTTAGCTGAACCAAAGAACCTCTATTCAGTTTCTACGGTAACGGTTTTTCTACTGTCTCTGGCTGCACGTCTTCTGCCTACCACACTCTGTATTATGGTCTGCCCCTGCGCATCACGCAGGCAATGAAGACACTGTAGGTAAACATAAGTAGCAGCAGTTAACTATCTAGCTTGTTTGATACACTTTGCTTTCTTACCTTAAAAGTTTCTGATTTAGATTGGGTCAAGTATCTACGGATGAACGCCATTGTTAGCTAGTTTCTAACTTTTATTTTAAGTAACAGTTTAACTAAGTAATGTTTGCTTGTTTCTAGCTTGTTTCTAACTTTTGCTTTAAGTCACAGTTTAGCTAACTAATGTTATCTAGCTGATAGCGCGCCCTTTCATTGCCAATAGTGGCTTGTGATTTCATTACCAAAATAAAATGTCGTATATGATCTAATGTTAGCAAACCCTGCTGCTCAGTGAGCCAATGGGGGAAAAGTTGTTGTGTAGATAGTTTTGACACCAATATAGTTTATTTCTTTTTAATAGTCCTTTAGTGGCTGTGTTGCTTTAGTTACTTTTTTACCTTATATTAGTTTCTATAATAGTCACCCCCTTTGTTTTCTCTCAGGAATTTAAGTATAATATTGAGGTACTTGTATGCAACTTGAGTATTTACATTTCATGCTGCTTTATACTTCAACTCCACTACATTTCAGAGAGAAAAATGTACTTTCTACTCCACTGCATTTATTTGACAGCTTAAGTTAACCAAGCAACATACCATACGAACTGATCACTTCACTGAAGCACCTGCACTGTACTGTGCTGTGTTCCCTTTCGCCCTGGAGAAAAAGGTGACCCACCTGTCTGTCATTGTATAATTCGCACTCTAGGTTTTGACCTTATCTTGATTAGATAGAAGTACGTGCGCAGTGGATTATATATTCATTGCAAAAAGAAAATTATCGTCAGAAGGGTATGGCGTCGTATTGATAAACTAAGCTCAGTTGTGAGAGTTTGTATTTTTCCATTTGTAACCAGAAGGGGGCTGATATCCAGTGGCAACACGCAGTTTTCCAGTTAAGTTTCGTTTTCGTTGGTCGCAGCCTTACCACCTCATCTGATCATGGCCGACGTGGCGGAAACTCCGTTATCTCTGATGAGTCTGGAGGATGAGCTGACCTGCAGCATCTGTCTGAGCACCTTTGACTGTCCGGTGACCACCCCCTGCGGACACAACTTCTGCCAGGACTGTCTGCTCGCTACCTGGAAGGAGACCCAAAGATGTCCTCAGTGTCGGACACCAATCCCCACCAAACCGGAGCTGAAGAAAAACACGGTCCTCAGCGCCGTCGTGGAGACTTTCAACTTGAGCTCGAACAAGACCGAAGACAGCCTGATTAAAGAGGAGAAAAAGGCCGAGGAAAAGGAGGATGTCATACGGTGTGATACATGTATGGAAGCAGAGGCGTCCCAGACGTGCTTCACCTGCATGGCCTCTTTCTGTGAGGAGCACCTTCGTCCTCACCGGGAAAACCCAAAGTTTGCTGTCCACCAGCTGAGCGATGTCGTCGGTGACCTGTCGGAGCGCATCTGCCCGGACCACAACAAGCTGATGGAGCTCTTCTGCAGCCAGCATGACCGTCCAATCTGCAGCCTCTGCCTCCAAAATGTGCACAAAGGCTGCTCCTTCATCTCCCCTGAGGAGCAGAGGAACCTGAAAGAGGTCTGTGTGTGTGTGTGTGTGTGTGTGTGTGTGTGTGTGTGTGTGTGTGTGTGTGTGTGTGTGTGTCATGGGTGTCACACAGTTTTGACAAATACAGTCCTTATGCTAAACTAAGCTAAGTGTTTACCGCTGCTACATAAACCTAGAACAATAGGATATCAGCTTAACATACATTTTTACATTAGACCTGTGGTTCTCAAAGTGGGGTCCAGGGACCCCCTTGAGTCCTTGAGGAGGTTCCTGAAGGTCCCCAGCAAAAAGGGGAATGATTTATTTTCACTATGATTCCATAATATCCACCACTGTTTATTTACATATGCATTGAAGAGGCAGCACTCCAAAGGGTGTGGTTGTAAAAATAGATATATCCAGAAAGAAAAAGTTCTTTGTTGAGGTCAGCTTATGCAAAAACAAGATCCACACTGATCACATCACAGAAGACTTTCACACTAGGCTGCTGTTCTAAATCAATTTTAGCAACATAAAAACATGTTAACTGAGAGTATGTTGCATTCAGATGGTGTACATGCAATTCAAAAAGCATGGTTTGCATTATGCTCTAGGCCTTAAGCAGAGGCTCTTGATCCAGCAGGGTCAGCACCAAACATGATATAATTCTCTGTGTAATGAAGCTGTGTTTTATATCTGTCTTTACAGTCCGAACTCAGTGACAAGTTGAGTTTACTGGACGGGAAGATTGAGAAGACTGAGACTGTTACGTTTCAGATGAATGACATGCGAAGCAAGCTGATGGTAATTTTTACACATTTCGTTTCATAAGAGTAGTTAAAAAGTGTGATGGCATTTACATAATGTCAGTTTGTCTTATCTGTTGATTTGTCCCTGTGTTTGTCTGTGGCTCCTCCCCTTACCTAGGATGGAGCAGCCAAAAGAAAGGCAGCACTGGCGGCTGCGTATCAGCAGATGCGGGACATGTTGGCCCAAGAGGAGCAGGAGTCCCAAAATGAGGTGGACCGTGAGCTGGAGACTGGTCAGACAAAACTTCAGGACCTCATGAAGAAGTTTACTGACAATGCTGTACAGATGAGAAAGGCCAGAGAAGATATCAGCGAGCTGCTGAGTCAGTCCCAGACGCCATCCTTTCTACAGGTGAAATGATCATTGTCAGAGATGAAGAAGAGGAGAGGGTGGAAAATGAATGTTTAGCCTAAAGACAAAGGACCCAGAATAAACTTTGCAGACAGAGATAGCAACTGATGTTAATGATTAAAGGGCCCCTCTTAAAAAAATACAGGAATTGGCCTTTATGTAATTTGTGTGTATGTCATGTTTCATCACCACAATTCAAATTGAAGCAAATTTGTAGAATTTCAACTAGAGTATCTAGAATCAGGGAACTAGCTATTGAAAATAATCATTAATTGTAGCTCTAATTTGAACATTTCTGACTTTGGCAGAAGACAGACAGGAGGAGAGCAATGGATGCTGCTCTACCCTACACCTGTTACAGCCAACCAACAAAAACACACCCCATTCAAAACTGTTTCCTTCCCCTTGTTCCTCACAGGCTTCATTCGACTTGCCCTGGGTTGTAAAGTTTGAGCCTTACATTCCCCGAATCAGCCTGGACTCCAAGAAAGTGACAGCGACACAGGCCTTTGCTGTTGCACTGAAGGAGCATCTGACAGAGACCCTTAAACAGCCCGTTGAGGCCAGACTACCAATAATTAAACCCGGTGAATATGCAGGCACATTTTTAGAGGGGTATTCTACATTTGTATGTATTATGAAAGTATAACAAAGCCAATCATGTCCAATTTTGTTGCAGAACTGAACAGTGGCATCTACGCATCTGGTGAGTTTGTGTCGTGTGGTTGTGGGTATGTGTGTGTGTGTGTGTTTGTGTGAATGGCGAACTTTGAAGGGCTATATACTGTAAATACAGTCCATTTACCATTCACAGGTGAAAAACCAGCTCCAGTCTCTGGACCTGCAGGTTATGGAAGAACTGGATCTCAGCCAGAATATGGTACGTTCATCTCTATGAACTGTAGCAAAACATAAAAATTCAGTAGCAATAAATATTTGAATGATGTTTGTGTCACATCATATGTGTATGATAAACATTGATGCATGTATCTTCACATGGAGTAGCTTTGAAATCACAGAAAGCTCTCTACTAATCAGTGTGTATACTGAATCATTGAGGATAAAATACCTTCATAGCACCTACATGCTTTGATAGGGGGAAAAAAAGAAGTGAAACAAGCATTTTCTGACACAAGACTGTTTGGAAACAGAGCAGTTCACTGTTAGATGAACGGCTGCACGCCTGATGTCTCCTGTTTTTACCTACTAGACTCTAGAAGTTTCTACTATGAGCCTGTAGATGTTGCACGTCCTTCTCTCCTTTAAACTCTAATGTAAATATGTAGAGACACTGTTTTAGCGGTTTAACCATGGTATCTTGTTATTATTGGAATTCCTATTGACATTTATACAGGTTTAAAAAAATAAATAAATAGATGGTGGATCCATTGAACCGACCCCACATTTTTCTGTAATGAACTAGTTTCTTCATTCTTTCTTGTTCCAATACTGGATGATCATAGAATGTTATGCATTGGATTGTCTTGCCAGGTACAGCACTAATTATCTTAAAGAGAGTGTTTGCTATTTAAATGGCAGCTGTACTACATGATTGTGACACTAATGATGGCTGGACGGTCGAAAAGGTTTTGTCTTGTGTAAATTAAGTTATTTCTTGTCATTGATCCTCCACAGTACAAAACAACATCTCATTTCATCCTCTCTGCTTCAGAACCATCAGAGCCTCCAGAGCAGAGAAGACCACCCAGGTCCCACAGTCCAGGTTGTCCACCCATTCAGCCATACTTCCAGCCGGTTCCTGTACCTATGTTTAACTATATGGGCTCACAGCCAGGCTGGAATCAATCCCAGTATTCACATGGCATGGCACCCAATTTTAATAGGGCTCCTCCCTTTAAGACTGGACAGAAGACACGTAAGTAAGATAAAAACCTGCAATCATACTCAAATTTCAGACCCTCAAAAGTTGGGAGGGAGAAATTACTAATGGCCGCCTCGCACCAGACGACTGTTTAATAAATTTCTCTCAGAATAATCTCAGAATAAAATCATGAGAGTTCTGCTAGAGCTGCGGCTCACTCCCGTCATCTCGACAGTTTGGTGTAAGGTGGTCGGTGGTCATTTACTTATGACACATTGTCTTTAGATGTGAGTCTTAAGTCTTTTAAAAAAAAATTCAAAGTCTTCTTGTGATTGGAGTCATAAGAAAAACGTAGCAGGAAAAAAAGGAGAAAACCATCTGCAAGCTCTTTAATGATCCTGAACGAGGCTGGAGACAGGAGCCACACACTCAAAAAAACAAGTCCTTTGAGACTCTTGCTGGTTGGTGTGACTGAACTGTTTCATACCATTGCTCATGTTGTAAATTTTTTCAGTCACTCATGTTATATTACTATAATTTTAAAGCTGGGGTACGAGAACTCCTTTCTCCTGCCATATATTTATTTATTATCTCTTGACGGTCACCGTTGAGCTCACCTGGAAATTGAGATCATAAATATCTGTTTTCTATCCAGTGAGATGTTCGAGAGGCCACTTTAAACTAGGTAAACATGTCATTTCAGTGTCGTCATCATGATGTGAGCGTGTGCAATAGTCACATTGCAGGATGTGCAGAGCTAGTTTGAGGTGCATTGTTTTACTGGAAATGTTCTGAGTCATCAGGAGTCATATAAGTATCAAACTTTATTTCAACCTGACAGATTTTAAGTCAAAATATTTCACTTTGGATCAAAGTGTTGGATCTACAGATGATGGACTCGCCAACACATTCACAGAGCTGCAGTGCGACCTCAATAAAGCATGAAGCATAAAAATGTTTTGTTTGCTTAAGTAAAACAAATGTGTGTCATGTATTTAAATATTTGTTGCTGTTTTCATTTTTCTCTTATACAGACAAGAAAAGTGACACCAGTCACCAGCCGCCCCACGGTGAGTCACTTACCCTTACAGTCTTTTACAAACTTTCTTCTGAAATGTTATTTGATGAATATATTTCTTTTTGGTCATGCACACTTATCACCAACATCTTAAGTGTACATGGATTCAATGATTTTACAATACTGACATACTTCAATCTGTCAAGTAATACGATAGGCTCTATATAACACCAGATGGATGGATAGATACTTTACCCCCTAGGGGAAATTGAAGTGTCCGGCAGCTCATTACTAGTAATAATAATATTTAATAATAAACAATAATAGTTCAGTAGTCCAGGTCATGGGCCACTGTCTTTGGCTGAGGTGTTCTACAGCCTGATACTGAGTATCTGGACTATCGAACTATTATCTGCTGAACCTCTCTGTTCTGCAGCGCAGTGAGATGAGACATTTGCTGCAGCTGTAGCTGCTTCTACTACCAACTCCCATTAAAATGTTTTGTTTGCTTAAGTAAAACAAATGTGTGTCATGTATTTAAATGTGTGTTGCTGTTTTCATTTTTCTCTCATACAGGCAAGAAAAGTGACACCAGTCACCAGCCGCCCCACAGTGAGTCACTTACCCTTACGTTCATTTGAAAATGTTATTTCATGAATATAGTTTCTTTTGGTCATGCGCACTCATCACCAGGCAAGGTCGACGTATTTCTCCGGCTTTATTGACATAACAGCTCGGGCTGTTGCGATAAGTCATCATAATCGTCGACGTTGACTATGAATATTTCATATTCCCATACATACATTGATTTATTTGTGGCGACCAGCCACTATTAACCGCCATGTTATTTTCTATTCATCATTTATGGCCGCACTGCTTCCCTGTCCTCTGCTCTCACTGCTTTCTGGGAGAGGCAGGGCTGCAGGTACACAGTGCACACGCACACGCACACACACGCACACACACACACACACACACACACACACACACATAAACACATAAACACAAACACAAACACAAACACAACAACTTTGCTGTCACTGCAATGAAAAGTAAACGGCCAATAAGAACTTTATCAAAATCACCTGTTCAACAAGCAACAAACAGAAAAGAGATATTTTCATCCATCTTGTCTGAATTCTCCTGGTGTCTTTTACACAACATCGCGCTGGTTAAGCTAACAGCGAACACTACAACAAAATCTGTCTGTATGTAAGTTTAACTGATTATCTTAGTTTACCATGAATCTTAAATCGTGGCAGATTGTTGTAAACTGAGCAACTGGTTGAAACAAACCAGAACAATCAATTCAAATCCTGTTCTGGATTTGTGTTCTTAACTGTTTGGCTAGTTTGACATGTGTTGTTGTTCTGAGGTTCTCAGATTAATATGTTGTATTAGTTTAGTTACCGGTAGTTACCATGTGTCACAGGTTTGGCACCTGCCTGTCTGCAGCCCCGCCTAGGACAACAGTAGAGTTATGGACTCAAATTCACAGGGAGCTTTCCAGTTATAAAACTACAGCTTGTTGTGCTTGTCATTACCCTGCATTACCTGTGCCAGATGTTGGCAAACTTTTGAAGCTGTTTGGCGAGTTGCGTTAGTGATCTGGCTTTAAAACTTTCAGTAATAACTACAAATTCAGGTGTTCCCATAGTTCTAATTCTACTTCAGCTTGATAGAATTCACTTCAGTTTGAACGCACAATTCAAGTCAGGTTGGCGAGTTTATATCTCTTAGACTAAGGACAAACTATAAATGAAACCTTTCTGTATATTTTTCCTTCAGAGCAAGATCATAAGAAACCCGGTGCTCCAGGTGGAAATAAACCAGGGGCAACAGGACCTGCCAGGAAAGATAATCCCAAAAGTCATCCTCCTTCACAGAAACCAGCCGGACACCATCCACGGCCCAAGAAAAATTAGTCCTGAAACGATGAGGGACTGTAAGATATGTGCATCGTAAAAATGAGATTATCAGTCAATCACACAGTAGGAAATGATACTATCCTGTTGCTTAAATCATCAGTATACACGCATGCATCGACCTAGCCTTTGGCACTTACTTGCATTACTTACTATTTTGGAAATGAACACAACATTCAATATTCAGCTCTCTTGAGCTCAGTGTTTGTTACATTGATAAATGATTAACACATCCTTAATTACGTCAGGATCACGGCTTTATGTTTGATTTAATTAACAACAGAGACATGAGGTTTATATATGAAAATATTTATGGGAATGTCTTCAAATTCAAAATGTTGCTTCATTACATTCAGTTCAATCAAAATCGGTTTTTGTCACCTACAGTAGCAAATTCACCAAAACCCTCTTTCCCACCATCTTTGTAAACAGCTTCGATTTACATGATTGTTACCAATAAAAGCTTATTTTTTCCCCAGACACAGTTCCTCTGTATTCACCTTTGAGTTCAGCAGAGGCCACATCAGGCTTCTTAGGACCATGTCGTATGAAATCATGTTTTCTGCACATTCTCATCAGCCTTCAGGGTTCTTATTTTTACACATGTGACAACAAAAAAAGTAAGCGTATTCAAATATATATTAGTAATAATGAAAGCATTTTGGTACACACAACATAGTGAAAGGTGAGGACCAACTAGATTTTGAATGCAGAAGCCGAGTGCTAATGGTCTGATGTCAGTCAAGGATAGCAATGTGACAGTTTCACTCGCTCTTGCCAAATTGAGTCTATGAAATACAGTTGTATATCTGCCGCGGTCTAACAGGTGACAAACTGACAGTATTCAAAGGAACGTATAACATCTCAGTCACATGCCTCCACCACACACAATAAAACAAGTAGAAGTCATTAGCCACGCTAGCAACATATTTGTTTTATGACACGGTGTTGGTATTGTTAAATCCTTATCACCACTCTGGCAGTGCCAGAGAAAAGGCCATGTTACGTAATGTCACAAAGGTTATCCACTGTGTTTTTGCACGTTTCACTCAGCTTGTCAGGGTACAGCGGTACACTGTCAACTTCCAACAGTTCAAAGCTGTGTTCATCAGGTTTTTGATTTGACTTCTACGGAGCATAACTCCTTAGGTTTAATATATGAATTCCTTATGAAGTTGCTCTGCTGAATATATTAGCAAACAAAAACCTGCACACTACCTGCAGATGAGGAGCATCTTTGGCATTCATTTGATTGATTGATTTGAATTGGCAGAAACATGCCAATCTGACAAATCTCTATCTAGCTGTTTTGGTCTCTATCATCCCCTGGCTCTGATCTACGCAGCTACTCTGTCTTTGTGCCATTTGTGGTGGGCATATTGTTGCCTAAGAATTGCCTAAACAGTTTCCTGCTGCTGCTGCTGGAAACAAGATTAATGAGAGTAGATATAGAGAAGTTGCAGGCTATAAAAAATCAGTTGACAGATGCTAAAGATCTCTGGGAATCTGAAGTTGGTGATAATTCTTTCTGGATTCATTACTACGAGCAACCAACATTACATTATACATACAAACCTAAAAATATTTATTTGTGCGGCTTTAAGCTGCTGCAGACTTGTGTGCAGAAAGGGATGCAGTATGCTGATAATAATTTAGCATATTAGCATGTTATCTAGCATTAATCTCAAACTACAGCTGAGGCTGAGAGCAATTGTGTTTTGGAGTATTATGTCTTGAAGTGAAATGTTTGATAACCCAAATAAAATACTCAATATTCAACAAAAATCATCAGGATTCATTCTCTATGGACCATCAGTATCTGCACCAAACTGCACAACAATCACCCCCGCAATTACTGACATATTTCACTCTACAACAGTGTCTTGACCTAGAGCCATGCGGCTAACGTGGCTAAAAACCCCAGTTACGTTTAAGAAAATTCAGTGCAACACAACACAAGACAAACAGGTCTGGTAAAGATGGAGGATAATGTAACAGGTCAAACAGGTGTCCTTGAGCAAGAAGACATTCACCAAACAAACAGAGGGTGATGACACCATGTGGCTTGGTTACCTGCCAAGGAGGTGCATATTTCAAAAGCATAGGCATCACGCGGCAAAAAAAAAAACTGATCCCTGTTCAGCCTTATGAGCAGCAGGTTCATTGGAAAGCATAAACTTACATTCCACAGACTTTTCTCATATGGCTGTGAGCAACACGGAATTCTGCAATAAACAGGACCACCTCAAATCGCAAATTAGTTTCCATACAGACAGATGACCTCTTACACACATTATGTAGAATGCAGGAAATATGCAACCAATAAAACTCAACAGGTAGATCAATGTCCCGCGAACACCACACATAAAAGTACATACATGTGATGGTGTTAATATGTAACTGTAGAGGTTTGAGTAGTTGATCAACTCTCCTTGACATGTCTGCAGAAAACACTGTCTTTAGTCGCCACCTTGTGGTGACTGTGGTAAAACACGAATGCAAGAAAACTAAAATAACAACACGACACAGAATAATCTCATCAGCAGTCATCACTATCGGTAGAAACATTGCGGTTTCATGTATGTAACCTACATCCTATGCAGTGTAAGGTATTTATCAGCGTAAGTGCCAAAACAGTGCAACACAAATTATGTCAACAGGAGGAAAGAAGAGGGAAAAAGACAGAAAGGGTCCTCTGAACAACAGTTACTTGGCAGAACTTTCAAAATAAACCTCAACCAGTCGGCGTGTTTCCTGCGGCTCTTACAGCAGAGTTAAGTTTAGCTTCAAGACTGTATCTTAGTACAATCCAGTAGTTTGGCGAGCTACTTGAGACAGTGCATCATGAAGTAAACAAACCAACATCAATGTCCAGTGATTGACAGAACATTACAGGTGTAACAGAGCCCTTGCTCCATAGAGATTCAAAAACCTTTTGGCCTACGTACACATTTCAAAGTCTTACTTTGGATGACAAATGCAGGAGACACTAAAAACTATCAACATTGATGAGGAGGCCGAAAGTGGAATTTAACAGATATTTTGTGCAGTTGAACTTTTCACCCAGCACTCACAATAACTGGCTTCCACAAAATGTGTTTGCTGTGTGTTGTTTGTGCTTTTCGTGTAATGCAATTTCATTAATGGACAATAAAGCTTTGCATGTAGCGTCCACTTGACACTCAACAGTACAGTACTGTTCTCTCCTGTGTTACAGCATCACCACCTGCTGTTGGTGTAGACATGGCTTTGAGGGGGTTTTGTCAATTGAACCTGGGCAACTTGTTAAAAATGGCTCACTGATACCCGCAGGGCTGCACTAGGCATTCAATTGTAAATACAGTGTAATAAATACATTATAGTTGACTAAAGATATCTATGGCACAAGGGATCAGTGCAAATAAACAGCAATCTTTCTCCATAACATTCTCCTCCTCCTGACCGTCCCGCGTGTGGGGGACGAACTGCCTGAGCTCTGGGTTACAATATATGTGGAGTGTGGAGGTAAAAGACTGAAAACAACTCCCACCAGCCCAATAACAAACGAACCTGTCTAACCCCTGCAGTCTCTCAGAAAAGATCTGAAACAATCACAGGAGAAAATAATAACACCTGTTCTCACCAACATGATTTGAGGATAAAGTGTGTTCAGAAATCTTAGAGGAGGATGACTAGGTGCCATTGCAGATGAGGGATTAATAGAAACTGGGCTGAAGAAAGAAGACAGAAACCTAAGATAAGAAGAGCTTCAGACCACATGATGTGTGGGGTGGGTCATGCACAAGCGGAGGCCAGCCCTGGGGGCCTGGGCGAGTCTTGAGGGGTGGGGCTCTCTGTCTCAGAGGCGCTGGATTCGTCGTCGTCGTCGTCCGTCTGCTCTGTGCTGTGATACAGCATGAGGGCCTGGGTCTTATGGGTGATGGTGATGGTGCAGGGGCCCTGAGCCCACGGCTCCCCGTCCACCTGCATGGGCATCTTGGAGCTCTTGAGAACCAGCTGGAGAGGAGTGACATACAGTGTACCAAACCATTAAGTGTCTCACCAATGATGTCAGCCATTACCACCACATTTCTCCCTCATGTGATGCCTCTGGTCCGTGTTTTGACTTGCAAAAGCTGGACAAACTTCTGTTGCCATGGCTACAACTACATCCAACAGTACCACTTTACAATATGACTACCTTTATAAAGGATTTATAAATGGTTTATAATTAGGTTATTATTAATTTAATAAATAAACAAGTTATAACACAGTTTTCATACATTGATGCAGGCTCACTATTTGGCAAGATCAGGTTAATGCTTACTACTCATTAATCTTACTAATGAGTTAATACTATTTATAACTGGTAAAAGCAGCCTTATAGTAAAAAACACTTTTTAGTGAGTGATTTTTGTCCTAAAGGGTTTAAGATTACAGCAAGCAAAGTATATGAGCACATGCAGGAGCTGAGTGGTGTGTGCTTAATCAGATTAGTTCAAATTAGATTCTCAAGTAATGGCAGTGAAAGCTAATTTGAACCCACATAGTCTTTCTCCACACCCACTTACTGAGGTAAACAGGAAGCATTGCAGCACAGCTCTGTGTGCGTGCGTGCGTGCGTGCGTGCGTGCGTGCGTGCGTGCGTGATTGCCTCACCCTGACAGTGTGGGCCTGTCCCAGTCGTACAGGGTTGGCCAGCTTGACCTGGATCTGTGCACAATGGAAGGAGCCAAATACACCCACCACCTCCAGCAGGCCGTCGTCCAGTCTGCAGGGTAAGACCAGAAACAACACTGCTGCTCACTGTTAGTTGCTATGGTAACCTGGAGCACTTGATACAAACATTTGAGTAAGGATTGTAAGAGATTAGAGATTCATAACTACAGATAATCTTTTGCTTCTATGGGGATTTTGTCTAAACACTGATTCTCACGGTATTATTCTCTCCAGTTGTCCTGCAGGTGCAGGTCTTACCGTGTGGGGGGGCAGGGTTCATCCCCCATACCCTCCCAGAGTCTGCAGCCTCCACCCCAGTAGCCAATGTTACAAACTATGATGCCCTCCAGACTGGGGAGGGCCACCCTCTCCCCATCCAACTCCAACTGTGGTGGGAACACACACACACACACACACACACACACACACACACACACACACACACACACACACACACACACACACACACACACTTATTTTCTGCATTGTCCCATGAGAGCTAGAGGATTCAATTAGCTTAGCAGTGAATGCCGCTTTAAGAAATCCAATGTAAACTCCAGAAAAGTCAACATTTTCATCAGGGCTGCACAATGAATCGAAATATTATTGAAAACACAATATGGTCAAGAGCAATATCCAAATCCAAATCGCTGCAATTATTTTGATAGAGGTAAAATGTGTCACAACATAACATAAATTTAGCATTGCGGAACATGCTTCTTTGGTATGAGCACCTACAAAAATCACATCATCATCACTTTTATATTTCTTTCAGTGAAAATGAAATCCCAAAATAATTGCAACATGATTCTTATTGCATATCGTTCAGCCCAAATTTTCAGAAACTACAAAAGAGTAACTGTCATTTATGAGCAGGCCCAGACAGAATGGAAACACATGCAATGTTGTTACTGTAGTTTGTTAATGGCATTTTTTAACCAAACAAGTCAAGCAACAACAAATTCACTTGCAGAGTGACAGCTCTGTAAGAAGCAGAGCGAGCGCAGGGCAGACGTCAGTGATTCTCAGCCAAGAAGACCACATACGTCGGCTGCTTCCATGACAGAATTAGCAGGAACAAAACTACTGTACCTCAATCCTCTTATCCAGATCCTTACATTCCTGCACTAAACAGTCTTTAGTGCCATACAGGAAATATACAGCCTGGGGAAAGGGAAACGTAGACATTAATACAAGCACTTTGTTTCTCTGATGTTTCTGACCAAAAGGAAACAGACAGGTGACACGTTCAGAGGCCATGCCTTTGCATTAATATTCAAACTCAATGCAGTAAAAAATTTGCACATGATTCATGTTTTCAAATGAAGTGGTTCAGACCTTGTTGATGATGCGGCTGGAGAAGAAGGAGGGTGTTTTCTCACGGTGTGTGTGGAAGTTCAGCGCCATCAGAGCGTCTGGTCCCACAGAGAAGTAGTTGTTCATGGACAGAACCTGAGGAAGACATGGAGTAGACAGTATGTTACTAAGTGTGTAAATGTGCAAATTGTCATCAGTTCAATAATAAAATGCTGGCGAGTAAAAAGAAGAGTCTAAAACCCATCAGAGATGAACGCACCTTTGGTTTACGAAAGTAGAGGCCTTTTGAAGCCACCTGCACTTTCCATCTGAAAATAATGATGTAGATAATTAGCAGGAACAAAAAGAAACACAATCTAGAAATACCAAGGCCATGAGTCCATGTCACCCAATGTAACCCTGACCCCTCGGAAAGAAAGGTATGACCAGGCAGCAAAAACAAAGTCTGTAAAAAATGTAAATGTTTTTGTATTTTTCATTTAATTGTTTTTCAGTTCAATTGTATTTTCTCTGGCTTCTATTTCTCTAGGTCTAACTGCTGTAAAATTGAACTACACTAAGTTTAACTGGACCCCAAAAAAACAGAAATTCCAAGAAAAAAAAATGAAGGTAATAGCACAGATGACATGAACATACACACACAAATTCCTCCAACTTCAACTGAAGACTTAATGCCAGCAGGAATTTCATCACAACAAATCTCTAAAGCTGTTGACATGTCAAACGGTCCTCTGAGGCTTTAAACTGAGGAACGCTGCATAAAAAACACATCTGAAACAGAACAATTTATAAGCTGATGGAATAATATCACGCTATCAAAGCCCCACCTGTCCATTTTGACCACCTCGGCATCGAGGATGTTACGGAGAACCTGTTCCACAGGGATCTCTCCAGCATAACCTGCACCCCAGCCCAAAGTGTTGGAAAGGTCATTTCCTGTCCCCAGGGGCAGGATGGTCACCCTCGGAATAAACTGGTCTTGGCCCTGACACAGGAGAATGTAAGAGCAGTTATTTACACAGAGAAGTGGTGGCACACAGGTGGAGACAATGAGTCTGCCCCAAACACCCACACTTGCAGCGGTGAGCACTAAAGAGCGAGTTCACGCACCTCCAGGTAATAGACAAGTGTGCCCCAGTGAGCTCTGATAAACCTCCACATGCTTCATGGGAGCTTGAGCACTCTGGCAATTACTGAAAATACATCACACAAGCAGCCACTTGAATACTCTCTAATTCTTCAAGTGTGGATAATGAGACAGACCCAAAAATGAAGAAAGAGGCAATGCTACATTTCAAACAGAATTAAATAAAAATCCCTCTCATTGCACACAGACAGCCCCGTCTCACCTTGAGCTTCATAGTATCGATAGCATCCAGAACCCAGCCAACCGTGCCGTCACCTCCACACACCACCACCCGCACACTGCCAGGGGGGAGGAGGGTGCACAGCTGGAGGGCTTTGGAGGGACTCAGCTCAGACAGGTCAAACACCTGGAGGACAGAGGAGAGGAAAGACCTGTTTTAGTCATGTTTTGTGCAGAAAAAAGTTCATTGTGACTGACACAAGCTGCAGGCTCACCTGCACTGGGTTGAGGAGGGTGCGAAATTCTCCCAGCAGAGCCTCCCCCATGTTGTTGCCACTGCGTGTGTTAGCCAAGACCAACATTGGAGTCCAGCCACTGCCGCAGGAAGATGCCAGCTACAGAAACAAAAGCACATAACACCAACGTTTCATATGTCAGGTCTGGGACATCACAGAAAACACACTGTGACTCCAAACAGCCGCGACAGATCCTCAGCACCTTGCTGTACTCGTCTGGGTGCCTGCGGCGGAGTTTGTTGACACGGTAGAGGTAGTGAGGAGGGATGATGAGGCTGTGGAACTCGCCCAGGTCACACTGGTCTGCGTCCGCAAGGTTGTCCATGCAGTCGTCGTGCACTGTGGTCTGACACCACACACACCTGAGGGAGGGGCAGAGGGACACCACCCTGTTAGAGGAGTAAGAAAACACACAAAGCAGGTCCTGCTGACGGGAGCAAGCTAGCTGCAGGGGTGCTGATCTGTCTCTGACACTGACCTCTGACCTGTGAAGGTGGGCGGGGTGAAAGGGTCATTTAGGATTAGTAGAGTAATTTATCTGACAGTGTGAGATTATACCAGCTTGTGCCTGCACTCCCACAGAGCAGCAGCAGTCCATTAGAGTAAATTAAAGACGGATTAAAATGACGTAGTGATGTGCAGAGCAGCAGCCTTTCATGCAGCGAACTGGATTATTATTTCTATTATATCTCACAGGTATGACAGTGTGTAGGTGACCTTCTATGAATGGAGCTCATCAGGCAGCAAAAACACCAAAACCACATCTCTTTACGCACAAAAGCAGCTTCACATCTGCTGGACACACACTGAAGTGGGTCTTCCGCACTTGTGGCTGCAGCTGCAGAACCACCAACGCTACCTGAAGTCGCAGAGCTTCGGCTGGGTTCCACACTGCTGTTTGCACACTGCACAGTAACTGGCGAGGGGGACGTTTCCGCGGACCCAGCGGTGCTCCATGGCTCCATCGGGGCTGCAGGGGGCCATGATCTCCTTGCACGGTAGGCTCCGGTCGGCCCGGCGCAGGCACTGCTCGTCGGCGCACACGCTGCAGCAGTCGCAGAAAGCCCCTTGCAGGATGTGCTGCGAACAGACGCAGCAGTAGGTCGGCTTGTTGAAGAGGTCTGTGTAGTGCCAGCCGTGTTTGCTTTTGCGAAAGAAATCCTTCATGTGCGTTTTCCGCTTGGAGCGCTGCGCGCTGCACCACAGCGTGATGATGACCGGGACGATGACGGCCAGAGAGGTCCAGAACAGCAGCGTCCACTCCTCCCGGGAGCCGCAGTCGTCCTGCACCTCGTCCCCCTCCTTGTACATCGCTGCTGGACGGTGATGCTAATGTGCGGAAATCAGTAAAATGTAAACAACAGTGACAGCAGACAGCACGCGCTCCACGGTTCCCCTGCGACTCTCATGTTCACACACACCAACAGGACGCTGCCGCTGAGCTGAACTGAAACATTAAGATTTTATGAACAACCAGCTGTAAACAAGGAGACGGCGATGTGACGCTGAACCCACGAGCTACCTCGCTAACTTAGCTTCAGCAGAGAGTGTTTAAATGTGAAGATAATTCACCCACAGGGAAAATGCGCAGGCGCTCAACAGTGCTGCACTGCTGCAGAGGCCCGCTGTGGAAGAAGTATTCAAATCCTTCTAACCCTTTCACTTCATCTACACATCTACACCTCTCAGTAACAAATACCCCACTACAAGTAAATGTCCTGCATTAAAAAAAACAACTTAAGTAAAATTACAGACGAATTAACAACAACATCCACACAGAAAAGGAAAGGACCTCTGTATGTCGGTGTTGGAAGACACTCAGATAACTTAAGTGCAAATTATTTATTTATTTAAGTGCAAAATTATTATCAGCAAAATGTACAGACTTATAAAAAAAAGCATTTGTGTTGCAGGGAAATGTCGCTTGTCGCTGACATATTTTTATATATGACATTATTTGATTTCTTATTACGGATGCATCAATGTGTAAGCAGCAGTTTATTACTGTAGCCTGTCGGGGTGCCGCTAGTCTCAACCACAGAAGTAGTTTAATCCAGTGGGTCCATGGGAGTCAGACTCCTTCAAAGTATGACAAGGTAAATCTGAGCGGTCTTCAGATGATGAATGGTTCTGACACACAAATCTGTTTTCCGTTTTTGCACTTTAATATTTGCTTCTTTTTTAAAATTGGATAATTTGACGTCTTTGTAAAAATGTGCAATATTCCCGCTGACATGTTGTGCAGTAGCAGTATAGAGTAGCGTAAAATGGAAATACAAGTACATCAAAGTACAGTGCAACATTTTGAAGTTAGTTTCCACCGCTGGTACAAGGACTGAATGCACTTACACTTTGTCAAGGATATTTGTTTACCTTGACAGTACAACTGAACTGCCGGTGATAATGTTTTGCAGATCAGCCTTTATGTGTTCAGCTGCAATGCACAGACTGCCTTCTCTCTGAGGAACAAAAGACGAGGAGCCGAGCGTCATCAGCGAACACGGAAGTACGTACAGGCTAAACTCTGTTTTTTCTCATCTCTGATTTCAGAGCTCTTGATGTGCGGACTGCTGCTTCTCAGTGCGCATGCGCCATGAGCTGCATTGCAACCTCAAAAATCACACGAGGGAACGAAAGCCTTCTCTGCCCCAGGAGTTAATCAAAGCAGAAATTATTATTAAAATCTACACAGTGATGGAGACACACGCCTATTTCACAAGGGATAGGAGGAAGCGGAAGCGGAAAGAATGACGCAGGATGACGTATTCCCTCAGATGTCACTGGCAGTCCGCCAGTACATTTATGAAAGAAAGAAATAAATCATGAGATCAAATATATTCTGGCAGTATGTGTTTAACCAATCAAAGAAACTTTGAAATCAAAACAATGTTGATATTTAAAATGAATAGCGTTAGTTGTAGAGTTTGGCTGCTAATGTGGTAACTCACCAGTACTGTTTTCACTCATTAAATTTTAGATTTGATTCTTTTACTCTGACCTTTTGGGAGCTGTAAGCAAAGATGACATTCGGGGAGCCTTCTTAGTGTCAGAGGGGTAATTCAGTGATGTACTGTTGTAGTCCCATGAAGCTGGGAGCTTCTGTAAAAGAATGGTCAAAATCGAAGCAGCAAACAATAAGATATCCTGCCATTTGGTCTCTCCCATAATCCATCTCATCTCTGGTCAGCATCAGCATCTTTTAAACTCTATATCCCCAGTTTAAAACAGATTACCTGTTTGTACACATTTGTATTCACCAATTCCAATCCAAGATTACCCCAATGACATCACCTGGGTTATTTTCTCAGACTAAAAAAACCTCCCAACACTGTTTTCACAGGCTGTGTAGTTTTCCTCTAGATAAGCAAACTGAACTTCCTGCATAGAATTTGTGGAATTTCCCTTTAAATTAGACTGCATTTAGATCATTGTGTTGTTTAGCAAAATAGTGTGAGTGGTATTTATTTTGGAGTTAATAACCACATCAGACCAAACACACATATTGTCTGTCTCTGCTATGCACAACTAAATGCCAAACCCCAGCCATTATTGTAACCCTCCCAAACTCTAACCCTGGTCCTGGTCCTGGTCCTAAACCTAAACCTGATTGTAACCCGAAGCAAGTTATAACATCCAAGGGACGGCCAAAATGACCTCACAAAGCAGGAATATCCTCAATATTAAAAAACACACACACACACACACACACACACACACACACACACACACAGAGGAATGTTAACCAAAGGACTGCAGCCACAGAAAGGGGAGGGGGCAATAAAGTTTATTAGACAGATAAATAGATCTCCAGCTAAAACAGGTGAATCCCTTGATTCTTTTTTTATTTGAGCTGCAGTTTTTTGCTCATATAGACCATTTCACAAAGGTGCTGCCTCACAAGTATTCCCTATCTTTAAATGACTGTGTGCACTGCCATCTAGTGGATAGACTGCTACCTGCCTCACTACACCTCACACAGTAGCTGCTCTAATTTTCTCCACCCCCATTCATTTTGCAACTTTAGAATTTATAATGTGTATCTATATGAATTATACTTCTATTTAAACCAATGCATCACCACTGATAGCCATTTATTTTCAATATGCCCTCAGTAACATGAGCAGGTATGTGACAGTTTGTGGGTGACGTGCAGGAGGAGGTAGGAGGAGAATTTTTCCCTTCACCCCCACTGGACTCTGGTCAGGACCTCAGAGCAGAGAAGGCTAGCACAGGAAAAACAAGTGTAGAAGATGAAGAAGCTGGTGGTGTTTTTGCTCTGCCTGGTCCTGCTGACTGTTTACACAGGTAGGAAACTCTAAGGGATTTGAGGAGGACAGCCACCACGATGAACTACGGGGGTGAAATTTTAATCAGAAGAATAAGCTTTTGTGTTTTTTTTTCTGCACCCTGTTTCTGTGACAGTGAATAAGTCAGTACATTTAGCTCCATTAGACCAGAAAAGGATAGAGATAGAGAGGAAAAGTGAAGACTGGAGGTGATTGTGTGGTCTCACTTAAGATAGTTTTGCATGAATTTAGTGTATCTTTCTTTTGCTGCATGACTATATTAGATTACAGATGCTGAAATGTTTCTTTACTATTTTTACTTTAACGATTGCTGCATTTTGCAACCATTCTTTTGCACCAGTATTTCATTCCAAAGCCAGTGCATTTAGCTCTATAACTGATTTGTTTTCAGCATGCACTTGTGTCAAACACAAGAGGAAACTGCACAGATCTTCACAATGACAAATTATTCTGAAAATCAAAAAACCATCTTTTGTAATGAGACAGCTGGAGATTGTTAGGTGTTTTTTGCCACGTCGCTGTGAGGGCCAGAGCAGCAGGAGCAGCAGGAGCAGCTCTGGCCTTGTGCTGACAGAGCTGGGTTCATTTCCACAGCAGCTCCCTCTGGCAGCAGAGGAAGAGAGAGCCAGCCAGGCTGCCTGCTGATGGGGTCACGTGCTGCACGGGCCGACTCCCTGGGGAGCGAGGAGGATGAATGGGCACTTTGTTACCTTCCACCAAATACCCTGCCTCCCAATACAGGCCTGGGTTAGAGAGAGGGAGACAGAGACAGAGTGCCCTCGCTCTGCAGAGGCCAGTGTGTGTGTGTGTGTGTGTGTGTGTGTGTGTGTGTGTGTGTGAGAGAGGGAGAGCGAGCAGCTCCCTCGGGGCTGGCGTTGGGAATAAACAGCCTCACATGGACTAACTAAACAGATCAGGTCAGCTACAGCCCACCAGCAGCAGATAGTGGTGAGGGGTTTATTCATGGGTCTGAACACAGCCTTCAGTGAGAGGAATGTTATCCTGATTAGCCAATTCCCAGCCACCAAGCAAACAGCTGTTATGTTCCTCACAAAAACAAATTAACTCAAGCTGAGGTCCAACTCAGAGCAGACGATCTTAGTTCCTGACTCTCTCGTAAAGAGGAAGTAAAAATAGAGGAAACTGCCAACACACACACACTCACATGTACAAGACTAGAACAAAATTAGTCTTTTATCTTTTTTATGTGCAGTGAATCAGCTTTATCAAATCTTTTTGTGTGTGTGTGTGTATCACATGAGATATGAGTAAACATTTTATCTTTTTGCAGTCAAACTCTTATCTCTCTCTCTCTCTCCCTCAGATGCAGGCCCTATCATCAAGGAGAGCTTTGCTAAGCAGCTTCTCCGCAGCAAGAGGCAGGAGCGGCCAATGAAGGCCGGCTACCCTGATGAGCCAATGAGGGTAAGGTTCATCCAGAGCAAAGAGCACAGACACATGGATATACAGAGATTAACCTGCTACTATTGATCATACTGAGATCTATAGCTTTCTGGTCAGCACTTTATTTTAACCCCCTCTATTTATATGAAATGTATGAGCAGGTAATAAATGCTTAATAACTCATATATATGTACACAAGTGTTATAGTGTTTCATAAAGCATTTGTTAACTGTTTATACGCATTTACAGGCTGTTTTAAAACTGTTCATAATTATGTTAAAATCCCATTAAAGAGATATGATTATGTATGTATGACTACAACTATGTAATATTATGTTATCAAGCTTCCATTATCTGTTTATACATTTACATTTATATGAGGAGTTCAAGCTTTTGACAAAACATGAATTAGCACTACCTTATATCTGTTAGCATATTATAAAAACTTATTAAGTGTATATATAATGTTTCTAAATGCTAAAATGATGTTGATTGTTGTGAATGTTTATACAAAATATTTATTTACACCTTACTTCAGTATATATTAAAAACATTTAATCTAATCATTTTATCTGTCATTAATTCTTTTGTAAATTCTAAATTTGTAGCTTTTTAAACATTAGTTACAGTTGACATGTAAAAATTAAATTCAACATCAGACCGGGCTGAGCAACACAATAAAGCAAAAGTCAGCAAGACCGATAAAAAATTAGTAATATATAAGTAAGTTAAAATAATTTTTACTAAACATAAACATAACTGATATTTTAAATCAATATATTAAATGAATGAGATATCTGTTGCCATTACTGAAGGGGATTTAGCTGTCGTCCTGGAGATAACCTCATGACTCACAGCAGAGCCTTGTTGACCACCTATATAAAACTTTCACCCTAACACTTTGCCCAGGCCCTTTCAAGTACGTAATGTGTCTTTATTGAATGACGATCTGAACCACCTAATTTAATTTAGCTGAATAACATGTGACAGATCAGCCTTTGACACTATTTCTTCTATTTCTCTTCAGACCTGGGGGAAATGTAAGTAAAGCAGCAGTACCTATAAACTAATCTTCCTCCGTGCATTTGTGCATTGTACTGCTTTGAATGCAGACATTCATCATCATTCAAGTCCAAACATGTTTCCCTCTGTTTATCTCTACTCATCTCTGTCATTTTACTTTGATTGCGTTGTCATGGTGAGCCGGTGGAGTTTTATTCTGACTCGGTGATTCCCCGTTTTCATTTATGCAAATGTGGGCAGCAAACTGTGTCCATGTTCATCAGCTTTCTTCTTCATCTCTTTCTTCTTCTGTTTCTTTCAATTCATTTTCATGTGTCGTTGTCTCCTCCTTATTCAACTGTGCACATCTTTCTCCAGGAGCATCTGCTCCACATGCAGGCTCTGGATCAGAGGGCCCAGGAGACCAACCTGGAGCACTGGTTGAACCCTCACTGCTACCCTCGCTGTGACAGGAACTATGGATACCCTGTGTGAAGATGATGACAAAGGTTGTCACAAGTCTCCACTTTCACCTCAAAGGCCAAACGCGCACTGTGCATGCATGCAAAGATGTGCACCCACACGGCAGCATAACCATCAGTTTTCATTGAAGTCAGATTTTACAAACAAGCAGCGTGCAAACCCATTTTTGCACTCTTACACAAACATGTATTTGTCTCCTTTGCATACTGAATTAATTGTTTCTGTTCTGGAAATGTCTCACTGCTGTTGTGTTATTCCTCTTCCTGTTCTTTTGTGATTTAATCACAACTGCTAAATGTAAAAACCACAGAAACCTGTCTTACAGTTTCGGAGTCATGCTCATGTCATCTCATGTATAATAAATAATATATATCATATAATATTTCTAACACATACAGCAGTACAGTAAAGTTCATTCAACGTCCTGGTGTAGTTGTGAATCACACCAACACTGTTGAGCCTTGAATGTCCGCTGAAAAATTCATTCACACTCATTAACACTGAAACATCTTCAGTTTGGAAAAAGAAAAACCACAAGTGACACACACAAGTATTGTTGTATAAAGCAGGAAGATCTTCACATTACAATCTAAAACTAAACTTAAATATTAGGTTTAGGAGTATGACGTTATTTATATGGATGAATCCAAGAAAATAACTTAAAAAATGTAAAATACTACACTATAGATACACACTATTATACTGTCACTATGTGTTTTGTCTTGTGTTGCTAATACTCTTCTGTTTACAACACCCCTGAATTATTTTGAAATGTTCTGCATGTGTAATGTACTACTTTACCTGATAATTTCCCAATCTTTGAGTTTATTTACTTTTCTCTTTCCACAGTGAAGGACCAGAGGTGACAATGTGGACTCAAGGACAGCAGAAAACTCTTGAAAAACAGAATGGAAAGACTTTTTCTCTCTCCCTCCTGAGATATAATGACCATGTGCAGAATGCTGAATAAGTGGTCATGCATATATAATCTTATTGTATCACAGCTGTGTAGTTTGCTGTTTTCAGTAGTTTCTGAAGTTTTATATCATGTCATGTCATCACAGATTGAAGTTTGTGAGCAGTGAATCAAAAATAAATCAAAAAGCATGAAAGCCTGTACCGGGTAATGGCGGTGTTTTATTTATTGAATTGAATTTTTTCGTTGATATTAGAAAGAGGAGGGTGCTCCGAGGTTGAGGGCTCCACACTCTCATTTTCCTCACAGGGATAGTTCACTGTATATGGATCCTGGTTTGAGTCAAACTGGGTTTACGTCTCAAATCTGAATGTGATTATGAAGGATGTTGTGACTTTAGTTAACCACTTGGTAATCAGCTAACCAGAAAAAAAAACGTCCCTTTTATTTATTTATTCATTTATGATCATATTTGTGCCTCTACATTCTTTAGATATGGAGACCGGGATCGGGTCTTTAATTAAAAAGGTTCAAGCACAGTAAACATTTGATTTCGTTTATGTAATTTTTAGCAGAAAGAACGCAGTCCTGTGTATACAAGGTATGTCATGGGCTATATGAATAAATCGGCTCTGAAGCTTATTGGACCCATACAGACCTGACGTGTGACGGATCAACAGCGCAGGTCTGCGTCCTCAAACAGCGGTGACAGGTTGATCCATCGGACTGCGCACTTCGACCCTGGACGGGCTTTTAAAATAGTCTAGGCTACATATTGTTTTTTTAATCGGGTCTGGCACTGCAAACCAGTTTAGATTATAAATGCTGTGGTGTGTGGCTCTGGTTCGTTTATATATGATCCTCTAGAAATAAACATTAAATAAATCAAAAGACTGGTCGCCGCTGGTTCTGAAATGATACAGAGTTGGGGCCTGTGAGATTGGATAGCTGCATTTAGTTGCAATCTTGTCATTTATTCAAAAGTCTCTGAACGCAAAGTGGCCTGTAAAAATCAGACGTGACGTCTGCGACGCATACATTCAAATTAAATAGGCCGTTCACAGCAAGGCCACGGGCTGATGGGCTGTTGTGTTTGAGCAGAAATGCGTGTAGGCCTCCAGCAGCCGCAGCAGCAGCCGCAGGCTCACGTTGGCTCAATTACGATACATGTTTTGGTCCAAGTCTGAGGCCTCTGACTTCAACTGTAATAATAATAGAAGAGATTCTTGTTTTCGCCTGTAGGAAATAAAAACAATGCAATTTGTCATAATTTTCCAATGACCTGTAACAGAAATTTAGGCAATTAAAATCTAAGCAAGAAAAATAATCCTGATGATTTAGACGGCGGTTTTACAGCCTGACGGTGTCACCGGGTTGGACAAAATCCAGGGTCTCATTTCTGGGTTTAGGTGTTGCGTTCAAGGCCAACGGTGAGGTGATGAGAAATGACAGACATTTAAACACAACGAAATGAGAAAATTCAACGTATTTATTGAAAAGCGTCTAAAAAGCAATTTGACACCAACTTTGTAATTTGCGTTATTACATCAAAGCTTCATGAAGGTTTTCTTTGAAGATGTAAACTATATACTGTAATGTAGTAATATGCGCCTTGGAAAAACCTTTAAAGTGTCTGTGTTGAATTTATTAATTTATCTTACAATTAGAAATGTTAGAGAGGTCTTTAAACACTACAAAACGGATTATTTCTTAATACTTTTCAATTCAAAGTGCTTGAGTAAATTTTTTAAATATAAACCTTATTGAGTTGAACAAGGTAACTTCAGTCTAATCAGTTCAAATTATAGAGAAATATTCAATCCACAGACTGGATTTAATATCTTGCCTCACACAGTTTACTAGCGTGAGCTCAGGCTGAAAACACAGTGAAAAAAAATACATTCTAGTTTGTTATATTTGCAAAATAGTAAAATTCACAAGCTCTGTACAGAAAGTAGCCAGCTGCTGCAAAGGAAACATGCAACTCATTCATGTTAACCAATGCATGAAGCAAAATGGACTTCATTTGATTTGGTCAATACATTAAATAGATGTCCAACTTTATAATATATACACATATGCACATTATGTAATTTGCCTTTATACATTACATACAAAATCTGCTTTGCTTAATAATCACACTATGTCTTATAAACATGAGAATGATTCTGATGCAAGTCAGAGAAAACAAAGTGTGGAGTAAAAAAAAAAAAAAAAAAAAAAAAAAGCTATCAAACAATCATCTCTTGTCTTTGAAGAAGCCTTTAGAAGTGCTGCTCTCCTTGATGGTGACAGTCAGGAAGTTGGTGGTCACATCTGTCACCAGGACCTTTTCCACGCTGCCGAGAGATGGCCTCCACGAAACTTCATCCAAGTCGTCATCAAGCCGGGTCGGAGAGGGCCTGTCCAAGAAGTAAGGCTTTTCCATCAGTGGGAGCTCAGCGGGGCGACTAACGCTCTGGCTCATTTTGGGCTGGTGCTTGAAGTGTGCGGGTGCCAGGTAGCTGGATCCTTCCTTAGTCCTGTGTGTATCGATGTCTATCCTGTGTGGGTGCAGGCTGCGGTCTGAGTAGAGCTGTTTGTAGGAGCTTCCACCGGAAAGTTCCCTGTTTTGTTGGTGATGGTGATGATGGTGGTGGTGGTGATGGTGATGGTGGTGTTTATGGCTGTGACCGTGGTTCTCTGGATGTCTGTGGGCTACTTTGAACAGCCTCATCTCTTCAACCCCCTGGAGCTTGGCCAGTTTGTGAGGGCCATGACTCAACTGCTCTTCTGCCCTCCTCTTGTGAGGCTCAGGGGCTGCAGGGCTGTAGCTGCTGTCCTTGAAGCGGGGCTTAGGCTTCGGGCCTCTTTTTTTGGGCACATGAAGGAGTCCGTCTGGGCTATTTTGCTGAAGGGAAGACTGCTGGTGCTCCCGGGTGCTAAGTTCTGGTGGTCGGACTCGTACACTTTCTCCACGGTTGACAGTGCTGGGTGGGAAGATGGTGGGAACAACAGCTCTCAGGCCCTCTCTAGCCCTGGGAGTGACAACTGGCTCTGGAGTTGGGTAGGTGACGTGCATCCCTCGGACTGCCTCACTCCTGAACTCATAGGATTTGGCTTTAACTTTTGCCTGAGCCTATTAGAAAATAACAAAATGACAGGGAAAATATTATTCAAAACTATACTACAAAAATTACTATTCTATTTTTGTTATTCCTTAATCAACTTAACAGGCCTTTTTCACAGCAAACATTTTGACTTGTCATAGTCGGACAGCCATTAGATTTGTCTGATGATACATATAGTGTGATGATGGAAAAACAAACAGGAGAAGGACTCTGATGAGTCAAGGGGGCTAGTTCTACTGATTATGATACTGTATTATGTGTTTGGTTTTCATAGTTTTATATTTATTTTGTTTGCAAGTATAGTTAAAGAGTTTTCTATTTATATTCTATACATTAATATTTTATATTTTGTTTCATGCTTAATTGAAAATTTGCAGGTTCTAAATAAAAGAAAATATTCATGCAAGAGTGAGTACCATTTATTTATATAATTCAAATACTTAGTAAGAAACAGGCCCTCAATGTGGTCTTTTGCATTCACTGAATTTAAAGAGATGTGCTGTGTGTATTGTTATGTGGAAATGAAATGACCTATATGAGAATATGAGATAGTGGTCATATAGCACAGCCCAACAGCCATCATAGTGTGACAGTGAGCCACCATCCACAATACCAGTACCTGAAGCAGCTAAATGGAGTTCATCCATCATTTACACCTCTGCTTTTCCAACTCACTTATCAAACTCCATGAAACAGGCTTACTGATTGTTTCAATCACTGCCCATGCCTGACACACAGGTTTATCTACACATCTACACATGAAATGAGTGAAATGGAGTTGCAAACATATACTAATAAGTTTTAACAACTACAACAGAAAACAGTTCCTGTCAGGTCACAGTATCTATTAGTGAAATTCCTCTACCTCACTCTAAACAACAGCCCTGTCAACGGAGATTCTGGTATTTAGTTCAAGATGAACTGCCGGTCATTTAGCAATTTTCACGGTCCATTGTCCTGAAAAGCTGAACCCTATTTCTGACTGCATCAGGCTATGACACTTTACTCGACCGATTTCATTCACATACGGCAGTAACATTTCAGCATCTGAATTTAATGAAAGGATTTAGTAACAAAAACGGATTTTAAACAAGGATTAAGGACTTTGAGCAAGTCGCTTCAACAGCAGCGTCTGCACAAGACTGGCTGTTTGTTTGTTAAGCTATTTTAAATATGTCAACAGTTCCCATTAGCTTAAACACAAACTGAATACACGCTACTTTGAATATGCATAATTAGCATAATTAAGGAGCCTTGTGCATTTCTGTGAAATACAATGAGGCCGAAGTTAATTTGTAAAGGCTTTAAGTAAGACAGTTAACAAACAACAACACACATTATATAGACAAAAAAGGCTTAAGAATTTGACGTGATAATTAGCCGTGACCATGTAATTCATTACGAAAACACTAAACAAAGCTGCTAAATTTACCTTAAGCAGAAATGTCTTGGGTTTTGGTCCTCTCTTTTTGGGTCCATAGAGCTCCCTTTCACGCTCCCTGTGAAAAAATATAGTAGCAGACTCCCATTTTGAGTGTCACGGAGCAAAGTGCAACGAGGACACCATATATTTATTGGACATGTTAACATTCACTGGCTCTGCCCATACAGGCCAGCCCAGACATCTTACCTCTGTTCAAAAGCGGCAAACAGGCGGGAGTCCAAAATATTCTCCTCTGGCTCCCAAGTGCTGTATCTGACAATTAAAACATTAAGTCAGATTGAGGAAGCGAGCGCTGACACACAGTATGTGGATGGCCATAGCGTTAGCCTGCCAGCTACAATCTCCATCGTGCTGTGCACCTCAGTTTTAATCCGGCTGTCTCGCTAGCTTTGGTGAGCTAACGACAGCCACAGCCGACACAGTACAGACATCACAGCCGCGGGTTGAAAACATGCAAGAGACACAATGAAGCAGCACTTACTTGGGAGACCAGCCCTTCCATTTCACAAGGTATTCAATCCGACCCTGCATGCCATCAGAAACAAACAGAAAGTACTTCGTTAGCTTGCAGGGCAACAGTAGTATTTGAGTGCGGTAGTGGTGCATTATATTCAACGCTCTGGGGGAAAAGGGGCACGTTACATCCCACGCCTACCTTCCTTATCCTCCGTTTGATAATAGACTCGGCAGCGAACACCCTCTCTCCGACGGCAGACAGCTCCATGTTTACTCCAGTGCTACCTACCGTTAGCTCGGTGGACGCTAACGTTAGCAGAGCAGATATTTTTCTCCAGTCCCAGCCACTCTGAATTCCCGACAGACCATAATACTCCCGTACAGAATGGACGTCAGCGCAATTTTTTACAGCGTTGCTAAGGAACCGCAGTCGGTGGAACCTCTAGAAGAACGCCCATTGGTCCAGCCGTTGCTACGTGCTCGGGTTGCTAAGTGAGGGGAGGAGCGTGAGCTTGTGTGAATTCTTTCGGGGGGGAAAATGGTGGCTTTTTTCCCCGCGCGGCGAGTGAATCATTTCGCGCAAGTTATGTGAGTCATTCAAACATGCACGTGGTATCAAAAGTTGTCTGGCTTTATACATGCGACAGTGTCGCCACACAAGTATAGAACTAGGACATAACAATGTTGTTTAGTTTATTTTTACCACTCGAGAAACAGTCGAGACACATGAGACATTCCTCATTTTCGTTTAGTCTATCCAGCAATGTATTTATCAGCTGATGCAGAGTTTATTGTTATGGTCCATAAGCACACAGCCTGTGACGGTCTGTGCAATGTCGTTACAAATTTATCTTCTGCCTGCATCCATCATTTGTCCTTGCTGTGTCAGGCCAAAGACAGATGATCAATGTACTATTTCTGTCAGTCAAATTTATAAGCTATTTATTTTCATATTATTTCGTTTAAACAGCTGTGTGTGTCATCCTTGAAGGCAAAGTTTTAAGTCATATGTAGCTATCTATTTTTTGCCAATACTTCTGGTTTGTTGTTTAAAATATCTTCGCACTGGCCAAGACCTGTTATCCACAGAGATACAGGTGAACTCAGTGTTCACTTAAAAAAACATCTTTAGTCAGGTAGAAGGACAGTCCGAGGGATTACTGTCACCGCCCATTATGCAAGACATTCAGTGTAGTGAATGTGATTTTTAAAATGTTAGGGAAACGAAGCTGTTGTTATGACCCTCAACGAGCAAAAGATCAGCTGATGCATGTAGATATCTGGCAACGCCGACGAAAGCTTTTCATATTTTTGACATTATGGCAAAGACCTGTCACCTTCCTCTTTGCAGCCACTCTGAAAGAACATTTTACTTTGCTGCTGTCATATCTGAGCTATTCACACCGGAAACAGAACGGTATGTTTTTTTTTCCAAAGCAGCGGCATCAGGCCCATTCCACCAAAGTGACCTGCGTATGTGCATAGGCTTTCATTGGGCCTAATGTGTTAATGCACCAACCAACACATTTAGATGAGAAGAATACAACTAAACACCAGAGAAAGGAAAATATTATATTAGCATCTTCAACCTTTCTAGGCAGATTGAATACAACAACAAAAAAAGCACAGGAAAATCCTATTATCCTTATTTTTTTTTCTATTTTGGGCTCTTTAAAAAAAAAAGAAAAAAGAAAAAAAAGCAAAGACTGCGCCGCAAGTCAGCTCACTGCTTTGATCAGACTATCAGACTGCAATTCATAGACCGACAGGTCAATTTTACTGTTTAGGAATAAGGATTAAAAAAGATAAAAATAAAAAACACCTTTAAGTAGTCAAGATAAATCTGTTATAGGCCTATAGTATGATAATAAATTATTATTATAATCATTATTAATACGATAATAACAACAACAACAACAATAATAATAATAATAATATAATTATTATTATTATTATTCAATGTCACTAAAATTCATTTTATTAAAACTGGCAGTTTTCATTTATTTAAGCCATTTTTAAAAATAATCAGGCTCCTCAAAGAAGAAAACAAATGACTGGCAATACAACTCGTTCATGTGATCATGGGGGTGGGTGATAAACGTTTCTCTTTGTTAAATCATTAAACTATTTGTTAACTTAATTTCAATAAACAACAGATGACGAAAATAATAATAAAAAAAAAAAACAAGTTTAATTAAATGCCTTCTTCATGAAACCTGGCCTTAGTTTTAGATGCAAATACGCCTGTTATTTCATACTAGCCTTTTTCCTGTACTACAGTCACTTGCAGTGACCACTTGCAATATTTTTTCCAGCCTCATTGCTCATAAGATTATTATTATTATTATTATTATTATTATTGTTGTTGTTGTTGTTGTTGTTGTTGTTGTTGTTATTATTATTATTATTATTATCATCATCATTATCATTATCATTATTATTTTCCTATAGATTAAAAGCGGTAGTCAGGTTAGTATTGTATTTAGGTCATATGACGGTTTATTCAGAAAAGCATTGAAATGCATATAGATGACTTTTTAGACTCTTGCTGAGCCTAATGAGTGTCAACGAAAGAATGCATGAAGCATATAATTCAGAGTAAGACACCGGAATTTGAAACCTGTCTATTTAAATGGTCTGAGTCCTTTTCCCTCTGAGTGGCTGGAGGGTGACTCTGCTAGACAGTCACCGAGGACCAGAGTGCAGCACCTCCAGATTTATGGACTAAACATCTTAATAATTACAACTCGTCTTTGCTGACGTTTGTCAAGAGGATGTTAACAGCATTTTATGAGAACCAATGACGTGTCTCCCGTCATTGAATGATAAAGTCTTTGGCCTGATGAAGCTAAAGATAATGAAATTCATTTCACATTAAATTCAAGAGAACAACTGGCGCTGATCCGGGCCGACAACACTGGCCCAATTTGAACAACCTGTCACCCGCACAGACTCAGCCTCCTTTATTTTTATTCAACTGAGAAAAAAAATCTATTAAGAGGCCATGCCATTTGACACGGTGAGGTAACTGAGGGTCAGTGATTTATTAGACTCACCACTTTTTTCATCTCATCTCTTTTCATATAGGCCTAATCATAAAATCAAGGTGGTGCAGTGCAAACGACATCAGGGACTTTGCCATTTATGGGTTTATGTTTTAATGAATTGCTGTGCGAGAAGATTGCAAAATGTAGCATGGTGAATTGAATGCTCTGAGAAATCTTCAATTAGACGCGACTATTGATCCCATATTAGTGTTTTTGTCTTAACATCCGTTTCTAATAAAGACGGATCCGGTAAAACTCCTGCTCTGTACCTGCAGTCATCACAGTCCTGCTGATTTAGCCTACATGAAAACTGGACTATTAATCCAAATAATCCAGACTGTCACTTTAGTCTGTAACATGAAATATCACAGAAAAGGAGAGTAAACTCATAATTTTTGGAAGATTCACATTTTTATAATGTTTCACAGTGAAATAGTAAAGGTGTAGCTACAGACTGTCAGAACAGATGCCAGATATCTGTTAAGAGGAGCAAAGCTCAAGCTACATCATTGCTTTTAGAAGCCTGCGGTGTTTATTTCCTAATGAAAGAAGACGTGTGCGACATGATTTTATAATAGTGTAGTTAAGGGTTGTCCACCTTTCAATGCTTCTGTTTTTCCTCCCGCGTATTCCAGTGCACAGCCGGAACAAGCAGTCAGCACAGACAGAAAGGGAAGATGGGCGCACCTCACGCTCTGGATGCGATTGGTCTCGGCGCGCCTGCAGTGCAGCAGTGCTGCCGCCCTTAAAACACTATTGGTTGGCTTGTATCCGGGCAAGACGCGGTTTCCCGGTGTGCGCAAAAAACGGGAAAACCCGGCCGTAGCACAAACAGTATTATGCAAAGACAAAGATAGAGAGAGGCTGGAGCATTCTTCATCCACATTAAGCCAGTTTGATTCGATTGTTGTAGTTACAGATGGATAATTAACAGTAACTGATATGAAACGATAACAAAATTAAAGGGTATTCCTCTTTTTTTCTGTCTTCAGGACTTTCATTTATTTTACTTATTTATAGGAAATAAACACTAGCCTAATGGAAAGGTGAGACAGGGCGCTTTTACCTGTCAGGGTGTCATATCATAAACACAGGTAATCAATGTGCTTCACGGGCTGTTTGCAACTGGTTTTACGCAGGGATTTCTTTCCCAGAATCCCTCCATTGCCTCTATCAAATTTAGGCTCCCATTCCTCAGTATTAACCAAATCCAATCGCACCAGACAACTGGCTGTTCTGTGAATGAATGAACAGTGAGGACACATGTCTCCAGTGAACTACGCACTGTGGCTGGTCGTGTCTCCACAGAGAGACACTTACAGGCCCGTGTTAAACCGAGACCTCACCTGTGTCTTTACTGCATCTGGATCATGTTGAGCACTGATGCGTCAGTCACCGCTGGATGAGGTTCAGTCAATAGTTTGTTTGTCACTGTACTGGATAGATCTGAGTGATCTCAGCAGGTTAGTAACTGTAAATGAAGCTTTTATGAGCACAGACCTGTTTGTTATGTCCAGGTGTTTCTCCGTCCACCTCCTGACAAGGCTGAAAATACAGACGGAACCGTGTGGGCGCTTTTTACATGTTTTGTAGTAAATGAGCCGCTTATTAACGGATCTGAAGGGATCATTTTGTGTCATTTTCTCACTGTGAACCTATATGGCTCTTTTGTGGCAGCGATCCTGGGGTTTTTTTTTTCTTTTACAGAATGAATTAATTTTCACAAAATAAAAGAGTTCCAAAGCTCATGGTTTAAACAGCTGCCTTCACAATTTAGGCTGTTTTGCACTTGTGCGTTGTCACCATTTCACAGAGGTAAAGGCTGTTTTGTGATCAGCTCTTGACAGTTAAAATGAGTGTAACCATAATTAAATAAAGTACTGCAGATTGCAGCTGTTGCAAACTGTTTCAGTCTTTGTCCTTATACAGCAATCTTTGATGCAGTTTAAAATCTGCAGAGCGTGCACATTACATTTCTGTGCATGCAGGCTGTTTATGGGGAAACACCTGCAGGCCTACTGTACACAAAATTTTCATAATGTCCATATAAAGGCAGCAGTCTGAATATTCCCCGAAACTAACTGTGATTTTGAGTTTATCTTGTGTCAAGAGAGCGTTTACAGGCCTGACTCAGTCACATGTACGAATTCAGCATGAGCAGGCAGAGAAGAGGAAGAAGAAAAGACGGAGGATCATCAAGAAGACGTGTTAGCACACTATTTTACACAGTTCTTGTTTTATTTAAGTGATTATGTAACCGACTTGTTCAGAGTTTGGCGGGTTTTTTTTGTTTTGTTTTGTTTTGTTTTTGTTTTTGCTTAGATACAAGGAAACAAGCCATATGATATGACAATGTCGGCTTCAGTCCTGATAGGAATTTCCCGCCATAGCTGAAACATAATGTTGCATTTATTTGTCTGCTGCAGCAGCTGCGAGGCGACAGGAGAGCGGGTGGATGGAGCAAAGAGGGGACAGCCATTTTCTCTGTCGTTGCTCACATTAACGCGGTGTGTTGGCGGGCTGCAGCGGAGGGAAGGGTCGAGAGCTGCTCTCTCATCTCAGCCGTCGCGTCACACCGCGTCTGCAGACCAGTCGTGTGTCTACACTGTCGGAACAGGCGAATATCAACCACTTGTCACCACGACAGGCAACCGACACAGGTTACATTCACAGACGGGGGTTTCTGAAGCAGGTGAGGACCGAGCTCCTCTGCACATCTTTAATTCAAAGCGCCCATCAGTTACTCACAGGAACAGCGACCGGCTGTCTCAGTGTGTCAGCGGCTCAAACGGGTGAACGAGGAAAAGCGTGGAAGCACGGACACCACACAACACAGACTGGTGTTCTGTCATTTTAAAACTCAACCTGTTGGTCTGACAGAGAAACCAGCCGCCTCCTGCTGCGCCTCTCTCTGCTTGTCAGGAGGATTTATTCAAGAAACATCTGACGTGAACAGCTGCTCAGGTCAAAATCATGAGCCTTAAACTAATAATATCCTCGTCAAAGACACATGTACGTGTTAGTTAAACCATAAAGCAAATCCCAGGTCACAGTAGATAGACGTTTGTCCGTGGCCTTTTGAATTAAATGCTATGAATGAATGGAAGCGCATGGCTTTCAATATGTTTCAGTGGACCAGGCCTGACATGTAGCTGTAGTGTGCACACAGGGCAAAGCCTGGCGATGCCTATCTGAAAATAAACTGACAGGCTCTGTAATAATCCTCACGGTCCGCAGCCTACACACACACACACACACACACACACACACACACACACACACAGCTACAAATAGAGCCTTGTACAGATTTAGCATCTTCTGTGGTAAGGTTAGCCATTTAAGAGCATTATAGCAGCCGCCTTTTCCTGCTAAAATCTTCAGCTCCCCGCGGGAAGCCAGGGTCACGTGTGACGTAGGACACCAGCAATGTGGTTTCTCCTCAATGTAAGTGTAAAAGTAAAAGTATAAAAAGAGACATATTCCATATATCACTTGCAAACAATTTTATTATTGCAAAACACATCATAGGAAGCCTTCATTTTTTTTTTAGCCTTCAGATAAAACATGAAAAGTGCATCTCATCAATGTTCTTCTCATAGAGCAGGTCAGTGCAGCTCAGGTCACATGGTGCTGCAAAGGGTATTCTTCAGAAAGGAGGAGTTATGTATGACATAAGGGAACGGATCTGATTATGACAAGAAGGTGTGCTTTTACAGACTTTTAATTACTAATTTGTTGCAAAACTTACACAAAATATGACACAAATATTTTATATTTTCTTATGAAAATCGCATTTACTCTCCTCACATAACTGTGTGTCTTACACATGTCAGAAAATGGAAAACAGCTGAATCATGGAGCACCCAGCTGCCGGTAATGATCTGTCGGATTACGCAGCTCAACTGGCAGTGTTAACACAGATCTGTGACTGATATAATTCAATATAATGAAAAAAAGCCATTTTAGTCACTGCACTGCTGCAAAACATTAAAATAAATAAGGTCATATGGTTGAAAATCAGCTGTCTTGATGGAAGTGATTTGTGCTCAGTATTAGATCTTGAGATGCATGACTCAAAAACACTCGGAACTTTGAATAATAGGAGCATATATCAAACATTAACCATTAGCAGTCTTTAAAAAACACCTTTTCCCTTTCTCCGCAAATCACATTTATTGACAGAGAGACGCTTCATTTTTCTTTATCTGCTTGTTTAAGCATGCCTAACGGCATAATGTGTCCAAGCAGCATGCATCCTTGTTTAAACCTGTCCATCTGTTCACGCACACACACACACACTCACACACACACACACAGACACAGTGTAATTTACCATGATTCAATATAATTTTTCTTCCTTACAAAATTTCCCATATAGCCTACATTTTTAACGTTATCTGAGATGTAGACAGTCGAGTGTATAAATCAAATTATATCCATAGAAAAGTGAAGATTATTTACAAGAGTTAAGTGCATCTTCAATTAAAGTTCCGACATCTATTTGATCTAATTTTGCTTTTTAAACTAAGTTTGAAATCGCTGAAATTAGATACTGCATGTGATAAAATCTCCAGAAGTAACAACAGATAGAGCTTATAAGAAGAGATATGCAAATAATGCGATAAAAGATCAACTCTTTTGTCTCAACTATACAAAATGAAAGCAACATCAAGGGTTTATTTGTACATTCAAGCATCTGAAAATCAAATATATCTAATGTACATCTATACAGTTACATGGTTGATATCCAGCTCTGTTACACTGTCACGTATTCCTTGAACGTAACGGTGAGGCAGTTCGTGGTAATGTCTGTGATCACTATATTCCCAAGGAAAGGCTGGAAGGAGGGAAATGTCTCCTCTTTTCTCTTTTCATTGTTAGAAACAGACAACGAGTCAACTTTCACCTTCTCTGCAGATTTCTGTGTTTCAGTCTGGGGCTGTGCTTCCGTTTGTGTGTCCATTTGTGTGTGTGTTTCAGCTTGTGTGTGCGTTTCATCCTGTGTTTGTGTTAGAGTTTCAGCTTGTGTGTGTCTTTCAGGCTGGGTTGCTGTGGAAGCTGCAGCTTTAGGCCTGGTCTTGACAATACTCAAGTCAATGGGTTCCTCTTGGTCCGCGTACCCACAGAGCTGCAGTCCAGTGTGACTCTGGTGGCCGTTTTGGTCGATGCTGATGCTTTGGCTGGGTGAAGACACCGTATTAGGAACACTGATACTCCTGGAGCTTAAAAACCTCTTATTACTCCCATGCTCGTCACAGTCTGTGTCAGAGAGGTGTCGCTTTAGTCCTTGAAATCCACCTTGGGCTCCTCTTTTGTCCAGTGGGGAGGAAACTCCCCTATCCAAAGGCAGGGAGAGCAGATTAGGCTTGGTTGTCAATTGTAAAGGCTGATCCGCTGGAAGCTGCCCCTGACCCCTGACCTCGACATGTTTATCCTGTTCCGTCACAGTTGGCTCCATTTTGGGGGACTGTTCCTTTTCTTTGGGGCAAACTACGTTAAAACCAGAACTTGGAATGGTTGGTTTTTCTTTGGGGTTTTTTGCAAATCCATTCATGAGGCCGAGCTTCTTGACAAGCTTCATCTTCTCCAAGTCATTCTCTGCGCTGTTATCAGTTCCTTTTGGTGGCTTTTCAGGAGTTTCAGAGTCACCGTTTTTAATTTTAGCTGCTTGCATTCCGTTTTCCATGTACTTGCTCATGACAATAACAATCCGCCCGTTCTTGTTTTTGTTCTTCACTATCTTTAGCTTGCTGCTGCTGACTCCGTTAGACTGTGGCAAAGCATCCTCTTTAGGTTTTACCTTCTCTGGCTCTTTGTGCCCATTGAGGTCAGCTGGAAGTTTCTTCAGCTCCATAGTGATATCCTTCACTTTGGTCAGGCAGCCGGAGTCTTTGTCCCGAACCCACTTTTGCTGCAACATGGGGGGCACATTGTACCCTTTGTTGGGCAGCTCCGGAGCCCTGATGTCTCGGGGTTTAACAAATATGGGCTCGTGCACCTTGAGGTCCGGCTGGTAGTGGTGGTGCTTCTTGCTGTTGAGTTGATAGTAGAACTTCTTGCCGTTGGTCTGCTGCTCGGCCTCGCGCTCCCTGCACAGTGGCTGGTACTGGTGGTGCTTCTTGCTGTTCAGCTGGTACTGCTGGCCCTGGGGACGGAGCATCTGGATTGCGCTGGACTTCTGACAGCCATCCTCTTCCAGGGACGCTTCATGAAGGTCGGCCAGGATACTGGATCTCCGGGCAAATGAGGGGACCTGTGAAACAAGACAGTGATTCGAAAAAGCATAAAAATACAGCTCAATGAATATAACATGAAGAATTAGGGGATTTCTGCTGTTTACACTAGTATTTAAAATAAAGACATCCCTCTGGGTGGGGAATTTGATTAATGGTGCAACTGTCTACAGTACCTATACATGTGTCTGTGTCAAGCCACAACAAAAAGCCACGGCTCATTGGGGCCCATGAGCTGAGCTGTGAGCTGTGCTTGGAATGTGTGAAGGGGCCCTTCTGAGGCCTGAACAAGCACAGTTTATTTCAGGGGCCTTGGCCCGTGTTCACACAGCCCTCCTACAGTTCCTGAGCAGCTCTTTCAGTCACAGGCCCAGGCATCAGGGTGATATTTCCAAGTGTCTCCTGTGGCTGTGACCTCAGCTCAGAGGAATGTCACTGGCTGCTTTGTGTCCCGTCATTGACTTTGTCCCATGTGTTAGCACCAACACCCTCCTGAGAGGAACAAAAACACTCCTCTGAGGGATTCCCCTGGCCTTTTGGACCGCTGATTGATGCGCTAAATGTACGATTCACACTCATTTAGCTACAGCTGTTAGGTCAGGGAACTGGTCCCTATAAAATTTAATGCAGATAATAAAATTTATTGTTTGTAATAAATATTTTAATTGTAAATGTGCAAGCACTTCCAACACCTAAATTAAAGGGGAACTCTGAGGATTTTAAACATGTAGATCAGTTATCTCATCGTGGGGTCGGGGGTGGGTGGTGTTTCCTTCTTAGCCTGTAAAAACAGTCACATTATGTCTTAACTTATATACTTATGTCAAAACCCCTAATGATCTCAGCTCGGGCTTAAGTTGTAACAGAAAGCTTTACAAACTGGAGGTGCTAAGTTTAGATGGTGCGTGTGCTTACTAAGGTCTAACAAAAGATGATTTTGAGTTGCATTATGGGAAATGTAGGGCTCTGCATTTCCAGAATCAGGATATTATTGGACTTTTGCTGAGTTAATTTTGACAATCATTTTTTAAATCTCTCTTCTGAGGCCCTGAGCTTCATGGATGTGCGATATTAAATCCCCGGAGCTCCCATTTGACTCTGCCTTATTTGGGAAATTAAGTTTTTTCTTTTGCTCCCTTGGATTTCCTGGGATTTCAGAGGGAATTATGCAGGGAATGACCAAGAGAAATATACAGTGTCCTTGTTTTCTTACCTGAACCAGAAGGTGCTTGGGCTTGGGTCCTCTTTTACGATATCCCATCAGCTGCTCCTGACGTTCTCTGTGGAAGAAGAAAACAGCAGCCAATCAGTGAAACCATCTGGCAGAGATGAGTCGCCGTTGCATGGCAACACAACGTCACGGGTGTCCTCCTCAGGCTCAGTTAGAAAACACTGAGCCCATGTTACAGGTTGGAGTTACACTTCCTGATGCAAAGTGACGTTCATTCAACACAGATTAAAGAAGCATTCATTTTATATTATTAATATTAAGTATTTATCTTTTCACAAGTATCCTAACCTTTTTTTGCGGGGCATCAAATGTTTTACAGCACATTACATTTCTTCTTCACCGCTACAAAAGGCTAAACACTGGCTACAACTGAGGTTTCCTGCTCCCTAAATGACACCAGTATAACATATAATGTCTGCACGTCCAGGAGAAGATAAAGGCCTCTCTCCTGTCTGACTTTCCTCAGTCTCCATGCAAGTCTCTCTGAGGCAGTAACTCAATACCGCAGACAGGAGTGATGTCAGTCCCCTCCCCCACCCTCCTCCCTCACATCTAATTACAATGACGACTCAGTGTATTTTCATAGCCTGGCATTCAGACGTTTTGGCTCCCCGGAGAGACACGCAATTAGTTTCAATAAAATCTCTCCCCTTTCGAGAAAGAGGTAATTGCAAAAACAGACGCGGAGTGATGTCGATGTTTTGCTTTAACGTGTGACCTGCGCCTGAAAGGCTGCTGTAAGCAAAAGCTGAGGAAGGCTCAGAGAAAAGCCAGTGACAGTTTAACACGCCATGCTTTTAAGAAATTCAATTACACTGTCCTTCATGTGGAGCTGTCTGGTCAGTCACTCAACAGACTATTTAACAATTAGCCAAGCAGCTAATTTGACCATGGTAGCCACTTGGAAAACCATGGACACAGGGTCCTTCACTAATAAAGACCACGAGGAAGTTTCTCTGGTTTAAAGTTTGAGACGGTGCATACACCTCTGATTTATGGCAATTACTAAGCGACTGTTTAGTTCCCTGCTTACTTTAATCATCATTTCCTCATGTCTTTCCACTGAATCATAAGAAGATTAATAAAAGATGAGCACCATAATCTAAATCCATTCACTTGGATGTTTGACCTTCACTGTGCAGAATGATGTATGTGCAGACGACTCTTTTCACATTCATCAGCTGAAGGAAGAAAACTTCTTTGTGCTTAAATCTCAGTTTAAAATGCACAGGTGCAACCAAAAATGTATGATATCACACGAGTTAGAAGCCAAACACAGCACAGTGTGCAATTTACACAAGGGTGATGTGGAAACTTGGAGCCTTCAACACACAAATACTGAGAATGGACTTTTCAGTGAAGTAGGAAACATCTTGTGTCCAGCAGTTCAACTTTTTCATAATCATAGACTCTGGATTTTCTTTAATTAGAGAGGAGTAAATGGAGTTTTAATTTTCAACAAAGTAAATTAAGTTTTTATCTGAAGGGGGTCTTAAAGTTTGTATCTACTAAAATAATAGTGCACATAAGTCAATTAAAAAAAAAAAAAAAAAGAAGAAATCACAAATTAGCCACACAAAACTACATAATCAATAGTACTTGGGTTATTGGCTAATATAACTGGTTGCCGTGTCCTGTGGAAGATGACACATGGTGGGACAGCAGGCAGCACCGCAGCACGATAACCTGATGCTGACACTCAAATAACTATCAGGTGACAAAAAGGAGATGCTCGACAAAGTGTCAGGGTTTGCTCTGGTAACCCTGCCCTGAGTTTAACCCTTACTTGACCCACTGATGTCACCAGTGTTAATCCTAATCCAACCCCCCCAGGCACTGAATTTCTGACTGACACATTGTGTGGACAGTTTATCAACATGGGATTATCCACATAGTGTGACCAGGCTGCATATTTCCTGACTATAAACATACAGAGAGTTCCTACTTGGGACAAAAAAGAAATGAAGAAATATTTAATTTAAACCTGTGTGGTTTTGTTATTCTGGGATTCATTTAGTGGACGTCACCACATGTGAGGCTGGTTTGTCCAGTTCTACACTCACCTGTCTTGGAAAGCATCGAGCAGTCTCGGGTCCAAGATGTTTTCCTCTGGTTCCCACGTGTTGTATCTGTTCAGAGAGAAGAATGTGATCAGTGAGGACACACTTGCCTTTCAAAAGTGGGTGACATTAATAAGCAATGGCTTAGGACAGCTGATGATTTCTGCTCCAAAACGACCCTCTACTGTCTTTAACTTATTAATCCTCCCACACCTCATAGTAGCGTGACTTGTGTGAACAACAAACTGAAACACTTGCACTCCCCGTGGATGCACGTGTAATAAATCATGAGTAACTTTTACGCACGGGTGTAGGGGGGAGGGGATACAATGGCCCAGCCTCCGCTCAACTGTGGATATATGGGCATTTCTTAAACATCGGTTCAATTAGAGACATGCCCCCCTTTAATTGGAACACTGGGGATTGCATACATGGTAAAACCACATCCATCATAGAGGCCAACGCATCGAGCGCCTAAAGCAAGAACGCGCGACCGCCCATATGCGCGTCCACGCTCGTACGGATGCACACATCAACACACACACACACACACACACACACACACACACACACACACACACACACACACACACACACTTCTATTTTCAATGTTGTATTATCGCAAGTTAGCCTTTTTGCAATGTTGTACGGGGATACTTACTTTGGAGACCATCCTCGCCACTTGACCAGATACTCAACCCTCCCCTGTGAATGGAGAGAAACGGGGTAATCAGCTTAACGTTACTTTACGCAGTAAAATGCACTCTGCATTGCACCGTCATCTAAGAAATTATCTAGTGGAAAAACGAAACATGTATTCCACCAGAGAGGAGAAAATCAAACGAAAAATCACACTCATTCCCATGTGCATGTGTGTAAAACATGTCCTTCAGCGATGTGGTGACAAACCTTTCTGCTGCGCTTCTTCTCGATGCTCTCCACCGCAAAGACGTGCTCTCCCGCGGCGGGTAGTTCCATTTTCCAATACAAGAGAAGCAGCTCCTCTGTTGTTGTGTTTTTTCCTCCTCTTCTTTTGGTATCTCACACCTTTATCCTCGCGTTCAGGCCGTTTCCCCCCTCTGCTCCCCTTATGTGAAACACAAGAGCCGCGCTCCCCGTATTTTCACTGCGCCTCTTCCCTCGCTTTCCCCTCAGAGAGACTCGCTCTGCAGGCGAGTTGAAGCTGCAGCAACAAAACACTTCATGCAAATAGCCGTTGACGTGACGTCAGACGAGGGGGAGGTAATAGGGGAGGGGGTTGTTCCCGTGCTGATTTCATGTGCTGTCGGAAAAAAGTGTTCTCCTCGGCCCATTAAGAACATATAACAAATAAGTAGATGTGGAAAAAGTGATTGAGTGTAACATTTAGTGAAAAGTATGGAAACCATGGCAACACCTGGCGAATGAAATCCGATTTTTTTTTTTATTGTGGCCTAATTTATAGTTTGACATTTTTGTAGGATATTTATAGCCTTTTGCACTTTAGTCAGTTTCTCCACATAAATTAAACATTCACGTTGATACATACTATATCTAAAAAAGGTATCAGCACTTACTGAACTGCTGCAGTAGCCTACAACAGTGGCTCTCAAACTTTTTCACATCAAGGACCCTAACTGATAAGATTTTTGTTATTAGATGTTTTATTACAGAAAGTGTTTGGAACCCAGGACCAAAATAGTCACATATTCTGTCATTATGTTACTTATGGATGGAATCATAGTGAAAATAGATTATTCCCCTTTTTGCCGGGGACCCCCAGAAACCTCCTAAAGAACCCCTGGGGGTCCCCACACAGAACCACTGGCCATAAGAGAATAGCCTACGTTTGTTAAAGTAATGTGCCCTTGACTACAGTCCAGACTTGAACCATACAATTAGAAGTAAACCAGCATGTGGTACAGGAATCAGCGCCACTCATTACTACACAGATAATAATCATACATAATATCATTAATAATGTCAACCAAAAGCAAGTACATTTGTGACAAAATGAAGGCGTGACAGGAATTGTCAAAAGTACGAGCTGAGACGAGACCCTGAACGCAACATCTCTCCTTCACTGGATGTGAAGCGAGATCTAACTGCAAGAGGGTGCTGTGAAAGAGGATAGCGTTGTTATCCACAGCCGTGATGGCCTGAATGTGCTGCTCACCGAGATGAATTTAGCAGCTGGGAGAGGCCTGTCGCTTCTTGTTGTGTTTTCAATTACAACACATCACAGCCTGGGTCGTTATGTGTGGCTATTGTTACATCTGTGCGTCCTCAGTCCTTTACCAACATCTACAGTATGAACTGAGGCGCATGATACAGTTGGGTTGACGTGCAGTTACAAGACAACCGATTTCGTAAACGAATTCCTCCACCTAGGCCCGACCACCGTCAAGGCCACAGTGTGTTTGACATTGATTTATCACCGCCACCATAACAAGGCCTCTTCTATACGGGAATCCTGGTGAAATAGAAAAACAAATTCACCGCGATGCTCTTGTGGTGTAGGATAAAGCCGTCTGTGAGAGGGATAATGCGGTACGTGTCATTGCCTGTGTGAAGTTAAATTGCGGCCAGAGCCCGGTCGCTGTTGTGCGCATCGCATTGAATAGATTTCCATATCCTCTCTGAGTCAAGGTCACACGGCGAGATGACATTTCAGACGGCACCGCGTCGTGGGGATTTTCTGGTGGATTTTTACGGTGTCAAAAGATACCCCCCCGGTTGAGTGGCAGCCGATGTAGGTCAGCATCCTCAGCCCTGCCGGGTTTAACTCCAGCGGGGTTATTTCTGACTGCGGAGCCCCGACAGGAGCGGCACCAGCCGGTCCCGTTATCACTTGGCTCGCAGTCTATACGTTCTGTAGCAGCTCAGGCCTGAAGGGACACGCCGACCTCTGGCACCTAAGCTGGGGTTTTACTGGAAAATGGCCGTGCCCAAGGTTACACCTAAGTGAACACTGAGAATTAATTTTAATGTAACTGGACAGAGAGAGGGCTGTAAATCACACATCCAGCTGTTAACTGCCACTGGCTCATGTATCCAGCTGTTTATTGTTAATTATTAGTAGGAGTCCATTTCCGATGCATTTATTTCAAAATAAAAAAACGTCGAAGTGCCCACGCAGCCATCCTTGCATTGTATCAGGCGCTTGGACCAAATAAAATTCAGCAGTGAAGGGGTTAAAGTGCAGGGTTCCCAGGCTGCAGCGCTCGGCCTATTACAGAAAGGCACGACTGCCTGTCCTTATAAGGCAATGAGTGCAAATCGGCGGTGAAATATCACATGAAATGAACGACCATGGCACTATTCACACTTGTCTATTTGCTTCAAGCAGCCTCTCACGAGCGCAGTGAAAGTCTGAACATCCGTTATTCTTCACCGGCTCGTTCCCTACGGCACCGCGGGGCTTGTGCGTGCAGCAGCCTCGGCGCGCGCACAGGGGCACAGCGCCATGCATACACTTCATACAATTCAGCTGCGTCATTCCTAAATGAACGACGAGCTGAAGAAACACGGTCGTCAATTAGAGGCTAAATGGTTTGGTTGAAAGTGTTACTCCCACGAAAAACTGGTCAGGAAGCTTTTATCAGGGCGACCACTAGATCGTCCTAATGTCACCTGTCTGCACTTTCACCCAACACACACACACACACACACACACACACACACACACACACACACACACACACACACAGCATCGGTCAGTCATGATATATATGTTGATTAGATATTATATTTCAACAGTAGAACAATGGCCGATGATGCCAAAGGCTGATACGCACAGCGCCCATGCGACAGATTTGTCTACAGCTTTGGAACATGGCACGTGCTGCTGGGGTGGTGGAATGTGATGCCGCACGTGCGTGTGTCATTAATGCTAGCCTGCGCACAGAAACTTCACCTGAACAGCGGCACACACACACACACACACACACACACACACACAGTCCCGCTCACAGTCCACTAAGTGCATCATCATACATGATCATTTTAAGAAAGGAACAAACGAAAAGCAGCTCAGGCACCGACGCTCTGCCCTTTTGTTTCCAGCTGTTTCGAGCACAGTTCATCTCATGAAAAATGCAGCATCGTGTAAAGGGGAAATCATTTATAAACAAGCAAACAAATGCCAAAAAATGTGACACGCAGAAGCGAACAAACAGGTCTGGTGTTTCTTGAGCACAGCTGATAAAACCGCATTCCTCTTTATCTCTGAACTCCTCCTTAGGTCTTCTTTTAAAAATAGAAATTCAGTGGTGCGTTGAAGTCGCTGTGGGTTTCTCAGAAATTGAAAATATATTTATAACTATTTTTCTAACTTCCCTATTTTCACCCTTCAATTTAGGGACATGAAATTATCTTTTACGCAAGCTGCAAGCTGCCACATTGGTGAAACTGACTCAATTAGAGAATATAACAGAACTTTCCCTCAGTAAATACAACACATGAGGAATCCACAGTAAATAACAGAGAGAAGAGCTTATTCTAAAGATTTATTTTAAATTGAGAAAATATATATGTATTCACACTGTATATCTTGCCATTAATATGAAATTGTTGGAAAGTTATAACTGGAATATAAACCATCATTGCTTAAAAAGGTTACAGTTTGCAGTCATTTGTTCAGTCTTAAATAAGCAAACTTTACATCTGCACCTTGTACAAGTCAGATAAGTCAATGAGGTATGCATTATCTCACTTCTCCCTGAATGACTTAGACCTGCATAGCGATCATGTGCTTCAGATGAGTTAGCTAGTAAAAGTGTGAAGGGGAAAAGTCATTATTTTCAACAGTGACATGAGGGGAGCAGAGAAGCTGTTGATGACATGACTGAGAAGATGAGTGAGACAAAAATCTAAATTTTTGCTGTCTTAAAAATTTTCAGAGGAGAACTTTAATATGTCTCATCATGACGCATATAGTTTACAACAGGCTCCATGTGTTGAGCTGGAAAAATACACAAGTACATAGTAGACAAAGAGAGTAACTGAAAATCCCAGAGAAGAGCTATTAAAGGGGATTTTTACTGCACAAACGGGGAGGAGGAGCACCAGGTGAGGACAGAGCTTATGTTTATGCACCTAAATCCTTGGATCCATGAAACTGATGAAGCCACCGCTCTTTCTGCGAGTGGGGACGTCTGATTAAGATGACATTTCCACATAGGAAGAAGTGACGCTCTTCCTGCGTCACAGCGCCGGACTACAGATCGAATGACAGCGGAGGGAAAACAGCAGGATGGAGGGGAGACGAGGTGTCATGAAGCAAAGTCCAGTGGAAAGGATGTGATTAGTAACAGTGCACATCTTGCTCATGAGGAGCGCACAGTAGATGTGTAGTTTCAAATTATCTAGACTGTTTAAAGAAATTCCCTCTGGAAAGTTTCTGACCTTTATGATTCATTAAGAACTGAATTTACTAAATTGGTATTTAACAATCTGAAATGAAAAGGCTTTCTGTTATTAAAGTTCAATTATAATTCCCTAAAGGACTTTTTTTCCTTGCAAACAAAGGGCATAAAGCACAGCCAACTATCACTTTAAATAATGGGAAAGAAAATGTTGTCCTGCAACTAAAAGCTTATAATTGAAAGGTTTCTTTATAGTAGGCCTTTCTATAACAAGGCAGGAATGTCTGTCAGTCTGAATGAGTCCCTAAAATAATGGAGTCAGTTATATAAATCAAATAATTCAAAGACTGTCAAATTTCCATATTTTAACATGAGCTGAAAGTTCACATGCTCTTCTATTGTCATAAGAAATTTGACTCAAAACCTGTTGAGTAAACTCAAAACGCCTGAGGTTTCATCTGGGAACAAGACCATTCTCAAACACTTCCTGAGAATCAAACAGTTTGAGCAGAGCAGGGTTAGCTGGGTAATCAGAGCAAAGGTTACAGTTGTGTTTCCTCGATGGTCACGGATGAACAAGCCAAACTGTCATTACTCTGTTTCACTGCTCTCTTATTCTCAGCTGAGACTCTCAACGACTGTTTCTACCTATTAATGAAGATCAAACACGTGTGTCACCGCTGCATTACCAGCAGGTTTTAAAGCACCTTTAACAACAGCTCAGCCTGCGCTCATGACGTGTTTTATTGGCTCTGGTAGAAGTAGCGGAGAGAGAGAGAGAGAGAGAGAGAGAGACTTTACTCTTAAAACTGTGAAATGAGGTACTTTAAATTGCTA